ACATCACTGGGACCAAGCTTCCTGCCATCCAGGACCTCTATACCAGGCGGTGTCAGAGGAAGGCCCTAAAAATGGCCAAAGACTCCAGCCAGCCTAGTCATGGACTGTTCTCTCTGCTACCGCACAGCAAGTGGTACCGGAGCGCCAAGTCTAGGTCCAAAAGGCTTCTTAACAGCTTCTACCCCCAAGCCATAAGACTCCTGAACAGCTAATCAAATGGCCACCCAAACTATTTCAATTTTTTCAATCTTTTCTAACGACATGCCACTGGCTTTGAGTAAAGTTGAGGTGACTAAAATGCTTGGAGTAACCCTGGATTGTAAACTGTCATGGTCAAAACATAATGATACAACAGCAGCCAAGATGGAGAGAAGTCTGTCCATAATAAAGCGCTACTCTGCCTTCTTAACAACACAATCAATAAGGCAGGTCCTACAGGCCCTAGTTTTGTCGCACCTGGACTACTGTTCAGTAGTGTGGTCAGGTGCCACAAAGAGGGACTTCAGAACAGGGCAGCAAGGCTGGCCCTTAAAGGTACATTGGGAGCTAACATTAATGATATGCATGTACATCTCTCATGGCTCAAAGTGGAAGAGAGATTGACTTCATCACTACTTGTTTTTGTAAGAAGTGTTGACAAGCTGAATGTACCGAGCTGTCTGTTTAAACTACTAGCACACAGCTCAGACACCCATGCATACCCCACAAGACATGCCACAAGAGGCCTCTTCACAATCCCCAAGTCCAGAACAGACTATGTGAGGTGCACAGTACTACATAGAGCCATGACTACATGGAACTCTATTCCACATCAGGTAACTGATGCAAGCAATAGAATCAGATTTAAAAAACAGGTAAAAATACACCTTATGGAACAGCGGGGACTGTGAAGAGACACACACACAGGAACAGACACACGCATACACACACAAACTCTAGCGCACGCACTCTACACACACGTACATTGTAATATTGTTGTATGGTGGTATTATACATTTTGTATTGTAGATATGTAGTGGTGTAATAATGTTATATGATGTACTGTTTTATCTTTTGTTTTATATGTAATGTAAGTGCTTTAATATTTTTGGACCCCAGGAAGAGTAGCTGCTGCCTTGGCAGGAGCTAATGGGGATCCCTAATAAATGGTAAATGTATTACATGGTTACGTTCTATTACAGTCAGTCAGCAGCACATCTTCAGATCTTAATCATGTATCTTATCTAATTCTGGGTTGTGGTGAAACTCACCTTCATGAGATGAATTTGGAACAACTTGTGTTCTGTGAAAAAAATTTTTTTATCTGCAACATAAAAATGATGTCTGGTTAGTTATAGACTGAACTATTCACTGTATTCAGCCATTCTACACTCTCAACCACATTGATCGAGTCAATGAAAACATAGTCTAAAACACGTCTAAATCTTATGATAAAAGTTTTTATTATACAGTTTCCATAGGTTAATGGATTTGAGTGTTACTACACGGTAATGCTACATAATAAGTAAAATGTATATTCATGGTATACTGTGGTTCAAAACATGCCGGCAAGCAGTTTCCAAAAGATGGAGTCCTTCAATCATGGCTGAAACCATAGTGATGTAAACATAGTCAACATTTTCATAACAGCTTTGGAACGCTTACAGCATGTCACAAACTCCATGTGACTGTGAAATTAATACAATATGCTAAACAAAGCCAAGCGTATAGTGAGTAGGCTAAAATTGATATATAAAGTAAGGCGTGCAGAGATTGCAACATGCAAGTGGCGTGAAATATTGCTCTCTGTAGTTCCCCGTACTCCTCTACAAACGTTGTCTTTCTAATACATTTCTGTTTTGCTCCAAATAGCCTACCTACCTTTACGCATGCTGTGAGCTAACCGTGATGAGTATAGCTTGAGTGAGACATTCAAAAATACATTCATGAGCACATTGTGTTCAGAACAGATCTGCACCGTTCAAATGTGCCCCACCCCCCGCCCATAAAAGATATCCAAGGCATTTGAGAAAAAATAAATTAATGTAAAGATTAATGTAAAAGTATGTAACAAGCATTTATGATATTTTAGCAGTTGTTGAAAATTCTTATTCTTCCCTGCAGTAAATTGCGTTGCCAGTTGAACCTCGGAAATATAATTGTTTTGGGTCTTCTAAGTCTTTTCATTCAGAACTACAGGAGAACAGATATGATGTCACTAGTACATTAACAAGGGAGTTCCTGAAAAGCTAATTGCCCTCATAAGCCTCGTTAACGTTAATTTGACCTCATGCATCACTGCATTTAAAAGTGTTCGAAAGGTTGCCATCTATTTGAGGATTAACTGAATAATTTTTGGAATAATTTAACAATATTTTATCTCTGGATGAACCTATTTAAATCCTGTTGCAGACTGTATCATTTAAATCATTGTGTATGCACAATACAAAGTGTGAATGAAAAAATTGTATTCCGTTAGTAGTTCATACAGCCCTCAATATTTGCCTAGATATCCTGATTGGCACTGGACAAAAATGGAGGGAAAACAGCAGCAAAAATATTGGCAGAGCGAAGGGACATTTTTGACAAAAAGAATGTACAACATTACACATATGTTCATTATTACACATATGTTCATACATGATTTTTCCTTTGAAAATACAACAATGAAACATTACACAACGAATGCACATCAATTTTAAACATAATTATTGCAGCATTAATGGACCAAGGGCCTTTTCAAAGGATAAAACAGTTTGTTGAACGTCCCCCATGTTGGCTCACATGAAATATCATGTCAAAGCCTGTCCTGTGTTCAGCAGTGAGAAGCCTGTCCTGTGCAGCAGTGGGAAGGAAGCCTGTCCCGTGTTCAGCAGTGTGAAGCCTGTCCTGTGTTCAGAAGTGGGAAGCCTGTCCTGTGTTCAGCAGTGTGAATAAAGCCTCTCCTGTATTCAGCAATGTGAATGAAGCCTCTCCTGTATTCAGCAGTGTGAATGAAGCCTCTCCTGTATTCAGCAGTGTGAATGAAGCCTGTCCTGTGTTCAGCAGTGTGAAGCCTCTCCTGCGTTCAGCAGTGTGAATGAAGCCTCTCCTGTGTTCAGCAGTGTGAATGAAGCCTCTCCTGTGTTCAGCAGTGTGAATGAAGCCTCTCCTGTGTTCAGCAGTGTGAATGAAGCCTCTCCTGTGTTCAGCAGTGAGAATCCTTTATTCAGCAGTGTGAAGCCTGTCCTGTGTTCAGCAGTGTGAAGCCTGTCCTGTGTTCAGCAGTGTGAAGCCTGTCCTGTGTTCAGCAGTGGGAAGCCTGTCCTGTGTTCAGCAGTGTGAAGCCTGTCCTGTGTTCAGCAGTGTGAAGCCTGTCCTGTGTTCAGTAGTGGGAAGCCTGTCCTGTGTTCAGCAGTGTGAAGCCTGTCCTGTGTTCAGCAGTGTGAAGCCTGTCCTGTGTACAGCAGTGTGAAGCATGTCCTGTGTTCAGCAGTGGGACGTGAGGGAGGTCTGCCTGAATATTTTGTTACAATTTTTATCATCTTGAAATGATATTTTATACCAACAAAATATCAAAGCTTTCATCTAACTATAGCTGTTGTAATTTTATGTTAGTGAATTATGTTAATGTTTCTAGTTGAGTGTCATGTCATGGATCTAGTTGATAAGTGTTAGTGCATTTGAATAATAGATTCTTAGAAAAACTTTTTAGCAGAATTAATCAAAATAAAAAATCAAGACAGCTGCAAGGCGTTTGTGCCCAAGTTGCTTATATAATTCTTACAGGAAATGAATAAATAAATACACACATCTAAAATGATTTGATATATAAAAATCAATAAAATATGTCTTTACAGATTACATAAAGACTAAACCAAATGTACCTCTTCCCATAGAAAGCATCTTCGTGGATATCACAAATGCAATATTGTGGGTTTTGAATAGAATATGTACAATATCTTTAGTAAGTAGTGTGATGTAAATACCATCATTGTTTTTGTACAACAACTACAACAGAATAGTGCACATGGAACTGGTTATCACATGTCCTTTTATCCCATAGGGTTTATGGACACAAGCCATAATGTTGACAATATTACATTCCTTTGAAATATATACATATAGCTGATCAACCACAATGCAAAACATGTCCTCTGTTGTCCACTGTAAATAATACGTCATTTGGGATAGAAATACAATACATTACATTTTAGATGCAATTGGGAATCTCTTAAACCACGTAGTCCCCTGTAGCTCATTTGGTAGAGCATGGTGCTTGCAACGGCAGGGTTGTGGGTTCGTTTCCCACAGGGGGCCAGTATAAAAAATGTATGCACTCACTAACTGTAAGTCGCTCTGGATAAGAGCGTCTGCTAAATGACTAAAATGTCAAATGTCAAATAAAAAACAATGACATACAACAAAGATGATGTCATAGTTTAGATCAAATTCAAGTATCTTTTATGTAATTATTATTTTTTAGTAATTTAGGAGACGCTATTATCCAGAGCGACTTACAGTAGTGAGTGCATACATTTTCATATTTGTTCGTATTGATCCCCCATGGGAATCTAACCCACAACCCTGGCGTTGCAAGCACCATGCTCTACCAACTGAGCCACACGGGACCTGTATCTTCTGTGTGATAACTCTTTAACTGTCTCAATGATAATATAGAAGGTTGGCAATTAATCTGCATTCCGTTCCAGGGTCAGAGATTTAAAAAAATCACTGGCAAACTTAACCTTGATGAGTGTGTGAATACATGAGAACAAATGTGTGTGCTTTAAGTCAAGCTGCTGCAAACCTTCCCAGTATGAAAAACTACAGGCGCTTTCGCAGTAAAAACTGCTGGAGTGTAGTCTGATAACCTTTTGTCTCACTCTACGCTGCAGTCATTTAAGAGGAGCTGGGTGATTCTGTTCTCACAAGTACCATTGGTGGTAGCAGCGGCCTAACACCCAGCATATCGGACTCTATGCTCTGAACTGCAAAGCAGAGTAACCATGGCCCCATTTATATGAGGTTCCAATTCTGGCCTACTTGGATCCTGACCACCCTCGGTCCCCGTAAGCACCTTCACCGGTGGCCGAGTTGGGTGAGGGGGCACAGAGGTCCGAGTCAGTATCGGATTCACCTTCTGCGATGTAGGGCCTTACCTTGGCGCAGCGGGCCACGCCACTGAAATAGCTGTTGTTCAGGAAGTCCAGGTTCTCCTTGGACTGGGAGATGCTGAAGCCGCTGAAGGAGCGCTCCAGCTCCTCGTGGTCCACCGAAGGGATAGAGATGGACGTGTCGCTGTCTGGCTTGCCCACTCTCTCCCCCTCGCCACTGCCGTCACCTCCACCTCCACCACCACCGCTGTTCCGGTGGGATCCCCGATTGCTCCCGTTGTGGCTTCCAGAGGAGCGCTCGTGGGCCGGTGGAGGAGGGATACGGACTAAGGAGGGATCACCTACAGGAGAGGGCGAGTTGCCCTGGCTGCGATGGTGGAACTCGCTGACGGTGTGCTGCTGCCAGGAGGTGGAGGGTGGGCAGTGGACCCCCAGACTGGAGCAGGCTGGCGGTGGGTCGAAGTTCTTCTGTCCGGTAGAGCTGTTGGATCGGATGATCTTGGTGATGGAGCCACTCTTCTCCATGTGGTCCACAGGGCTGTGGTAGGGCGGTGCCGGTTCGGGCTCCTTGGACCCAAAGTAGGCGTCTGTCTCCGACTGGGGGATGCCCATGCGCTGGATGTAGATGTTCACCAAGAAGTCCAGCTTCCTTTCCATTGACATGATCTGCTCAGAAGGGAAGACACCATGGTGTGATGGACAGTTGGAAAGCCCAAGTGAAACAAAGGTATACAATGAATACTGACGTCACCAGATAACGGTATACCTTACCTGTTTTTCCATTTTCCCTAGGCGCCCCATCATGCTTGGGTCCTCTTCAACCCCACCGTCAGTGGTTCCTTTGGGACGGTCTTTATCTGTGATCGGAGTACCTCGACCAACAATCTGGTCAACTCTACCAATTCAAAACACAAACAGGTGACATCTAGGTTCAAGCCAATAGAGTTGAAGAAAACCTACTTGAAATTGAGCTTAAAATTGACACAGCCGGCACCTTATATCACCTTAAAAAAAATAAAAATAAACGTACAGTACTATATTCTACTTTAAAATAATAATTGACCTGAAACTCAGGTCCACAGTACAACAAGTGGAAGTGTATAACCTGACACTATCTGATAGAGGAGTACAGGTGTTGAAAGGAGAGTGCCATACACTCGGGTACAGCTCTCGCCTGCCTAGCGCTGAGCACAGTGGGAGTCAGACGGGCTCATGCATGGGATGACATGGCATATGTTCAGACAACGGAGAGATGGGGGGGGTTCGGACATAGGTAGGGCCTTAGAGGATGCAGGGTTAGAGGGTTTTTTCTTATCTTTTATTTCAACTACTCATCAGTGCCATTCATGGGCTCTTGAACCCCAGCAAGACAATACAGCAACAAGTTACTTCAAGTTGACAGGTTATAACAAAGGTCTTAACAACCCTATGAAGTTGCTATTGATGGTAGGTTGTCATACATGGTCTGCTTCATAACATTGTTAAGCCAGTTGTCAAAAGTGTAAGGCAAGTTGTCATGACATGGGTTCTATGACTGCTGTGACAAAGGTTCGGTAGGTATATTGAAAGGTTCTGTAGGAATTATGAAAGGTTATGTAGGAATTATGAAAGGTTCCGTAGGAATTATTAAAGGTTCCGTAGGCATTATTAAAGGTTCTGTAGGCATTATTAAAGGTTCTGTAGTCATTATGAAAGGTTCTGTAGGCATTATGAAAGGTTCTGTAGGCATTATTAAAGGTTCTGTAGGCATTATTAAAGGTTATATAGGCATTATGAAAGGTTCTGTAGGCATTATTAAAGGTTCTGTAGGCATTATGAAAGGTTCTGTAGTCATTATTAAAGGTTCTGTTGGCATTATGAAAGGTTCTGTAAGCATTATGAAAGGTTCTGTAGGCATTATGAAATGTTCCGTAGGAATTATGAAAGGTTCTGTAGGCATTATGAAAGGTTCTGTAGGCATTATTAAAGGTTCTGTTGGCATTATTAAAGGTTATGTAGGCATTAAAGGTTCTGTAGGCATTATGAAAGGTTCTGTAGGCATTAAAGGTTCCGTAGGCAGTATTAAAGGTTCTGTAGGCATTATGAAAGGTTATGTAGTCATTATTAAAGGTTCTGTTGGTATTATGAAAGGTTCTGTAGGCATTATGAAAGGTTCTGTAGGCATTATGAAAGGTTCCGTAGGAATTATTAAAGGTTCCGTAGGCATTATTAAAGGTTCTGTAGGCATTATGAAAGGTTCTGTAGGCATTAAAGGTTCTGTTGGCATTATTAAAGGTTATGTAGGCATTAAATGTTCTGTAGGCATTATGAAAGGTTCTGTAGGCAGTATTAAAGGTTCTGTAGGCAGTTTTAAAGGTTCTGTAGGCATTATGAAAGGTTCTGTAGGTATTATTAAAGGTTCTGTAGGCATTATTAAAGGTTCTGTTGGCATTATGAAAGGTTCTGTAGGCATTATTAAAGGTTCTGTAGGCATTATGAAAGGTTCTGTAGGCATTATTAAAGGTTCTGTAGGCATTATGAAAGGTTCTGTTGGCATTATTAAAGGTTCTGTAGGTATTATTAAAGGTTCTGTTGGCATTATTAAAGGTTATGTTGGCATTATTAAAGGTTCTGTAGGCATTATTAAAGGTTCCGTAGGCATTATTAAAGGTTCTGTAGGCATTATGAAAGGTTCTGTAGGCATTATTAAAGGTTCTGTAGGCATTATTAAAGGTTCTGTAGGCATTATGAAATGTTCTGAAGGCATTATGAAAGGTTCTGTAGTCATTATTAAAGGTTCTGTTGGCATTATGAAAGGTTCCGTAGGCATTATGAAAGGTTCTGTAGGCATTATGAAAGGTTCCGTAGGAATTATTAAAGGTTCCGTAGGCATTATTAAAGGTTCTGTAGGCATTATGAAAGGTTCTGTAGGCATTATGAAAGGTTCTGTAGGCATTATTAAAGGTTCTGTTGGCATTATTAAAGGTTATGTAGGCATTAAAGGTTCTGTAGGCATTAATGGTTCTGTAGGCAGTATTAAAGGTTCTGTAGGCAGTATTAAAGGTTCGGTAGGCATTATGAAAGGTTCTGTAGGTATTATTAAAGGTTCTGTAGGCATTATTAAAGGTTCTGTAGGCATTATTAAAGGTTATGTGGTCCTCTGTAGCTCAGCTGGTAGAGCACGGCGCTTGTAAAGCCAAGGTAGTGGGTTCGATCCCCGGGACCACCCATACACAAAAATGTATGCACGCATGACTGTAAGTCGCTTTGGATAAAAGCGTCTGCTAAATGGCATATTATTATTATTATTATTATGAAAGGTTCTGTTGGCATTATGAAAGGTTCTGTAGGCATTATGAAAGGTTCTGTAGGCATTATTAAAGGTTCTGTAGGCATTATTAAAGGTTCTGTAGGCATTATTAAAGGTTCTGTAGGCATTATGAAAGGTTCTGTTGGCATTATGAAAGGTTCTGTAGGTATTATTAAAGGTTCTGTTGGCATTATTAAAGGTTCTGTTGGCATTATTAAAGGTTCTGTAGGCATTATGAAAGGTTCTGTAGGCATTATGAAAGGTTCTGTTGGCATTATGAAACGTTCTGTTGGCATTATGAAAGGTTCTGTTGGCGTTATGAAAGGTTCTGTAGGTATTATTAAAGGTTCTGTTGGCATTATTAAAGGTTCTGTTGGCATTATTAAAGGTTCTGTTGGCATTATTAAAGGTTCTGTTGGCATTATTAAAGGTTCTGTTGGCATTATTAAAGGTTCTGTAGGCAAGGCATTATGAAAGGTTCTGTTGGCATTATGAAAGGTTCTGTTGGCATTATGAAAGGTTCTGTAGGCATTATGAAAACTTTGAGTGAAGTGTTAATCAAATGTGTACACTTCAATGGGAGGTTGATTCAACTAAAGTGTCACTGAAAAAATTGCTTGGACATATTGGATCAGCTATACTTATTGCCCTAAAGTACCATGAACCTTCTAAAAACCATCCACAACATCTACCCTATATTGAACACTGACTGAGGCCTACTTATACAGATGTAGGATCTTAATTTGATCACCCTGTTGCAGGATAACGTTTCTGCAATGCAGGATATTTAAAACTTGTATTGTTTTGAGGTTTAAAAAGGCTTGTGAAGTTTGTAATTTCCACTTTGAAATGTCAGACTTGATTTTCCCTTAGGAAAAATGTATCAATCCCTACAAAAATGTCTAAATACATTTCCTGTTGCTGCAGGATTATTTTCCTGCTGTAGCAAACTGGCTCAAATTAAGATCCTACATCTGTAAGAGGGTTAGCAATGAACTACCATTTTAAACATCTGAATAAGAGAGAAAAATCCTCTGTAGAATAATAGTATTCACAGAACTGCTTCATAGTCAGGTAAAACATGTTTACCAATTTCCCAACCGTCCCAAGTGGGCAAGATTAGAAAACTATGCAAACTTCTGAAATGGACATTGTGCATCACGTGGCATGCTTCAATATGCCTCATGCCAACATGCATCCAAAACCGAAGAACATACTATATTGTTCATAGTCGCCTCATAGGTCATTGGCAGTAGCTGAATTTCGCTATTTTTATGTATAAGCTCTTCATTGTCAATGCATTGCAGGCGATTCAGCTCAACCCTTTTTTGTTCGGCTACTTGACTTGACTACTTACCTATATGAGCTTCTCCTATGTCCTACGGGAACATTTACCATATTCTTAACTATTGGATAAACCAAGTTAGTCTTATTTTCTGTCATTCTACTTTTGTTAATTCTCTAGTAAAATCTATGCAGTATAGTGCAAGAAAAATGAGAATAGAAAAATGGCACACGTTATACACTATGTATTCAGCTGATCAGCACTCAAAGAGATAATATGACTCAATGAGTTTGAGTAGTTATTTACTGAGAATAACTCATTAATTGCTGCTTGCAGCAAGATGTTTGCCACTTTGATCAAGTCACTGCATCACACCGCTTTATAGACACCGCTAGTCACATGCTGTCACATACAGTAGGCCGAGCCAAAAAAAGGTTTCCGCTGCTTGTCAACAGAATAGATAAGGAACTCATAAGAAGCTCTTGATGAGAGAGAGGCAGTCTGGTGAGGGCTAACCTAGGAGAGTATTTGGGTGACTCTTTGGGTCCATCAGATGAATACTTCTTAAGGCGGGGAGTTGAAGGTCCATGGGGACCAACAATCATATCTATCCTGGCAGAGTGAATAGAGAAGACACATCCACAATGCAGGATGACGGCGCAACACGGACCAGTCCGACGAGCGCACATGAAATTAACGAAACCAAAACAACAGAACCAGGAGACAAAAGACAAGGACAAATAAGTGAAAATATATTCCAAACGTATTTTCCAAAACAAATTTTCCAAATGGATGTTTTTCATTTGGTAAAATAATCACAGACTATAGCTGTATGATATGACAGTGAAGCCATCATTTCAAAGAATAGTGAGGTAATTTTGATATAAAAAAATAATATTCTAAGTAGGAATATATTTACATACATGTGGTACCATTAGTAAACTCACAACATATGTTGTACTTATTCGATAACGTTGCCCCTGAGATGAGACTGAATGCTGAATGCTTAGGATATGACCTTATGTTATCTATAACAGACACTTACCATTAACAACTTCCCTTTCGTGAACTAAAACTCACACTTGACTGATTCACTGAATCCGCTATCTTCTCTTGTCATTATTGGGGTACAGTAGCCTATACCGTGATGTTGGTGGGACTCGGGAATATCATGAATTGTCGATCATCCTCTGATTCCTGAAATGTGTTCTCTGTAACCTACCTGGTTAAATAAAGGTAACCCTAGATTAGTCAGGTTGGTATTGTAATGTGTTCTCAGTAACCTACCTGGTTAAATAAAGGTAACCCTAGATTAGTCAGGTTGGTATTGTAATGTGTTCTCAGTAACCTACCTGGTTAAATAAAGGTAACAATAGATATGAGTGTAGGTGGATACCTTTGCAAACACTACCGAACAAGATGGCCTCCCTGGCAGAAGGCAACATTATTTGACAGCGTACTCTAATCTCCTACATTGCGGAGTGACACACAGGTGAATGGTGTGTGAACACATCACTAGAGAGAACAGACATCACTTCAGAGGACAGACATCACTAAAAGGGACAGACATCACTACAGTGGACAGACATCACTAAAGGGAACAGACATCACTACAGAGTACAGACATCACTACAGAGGACAGACATCACTACAGAGGACAGACATCACTACAGAGAACAGACATTACTACAGAGGACAGACATCACTACAGAGGACAGACATCACTACAGAGGACAGACATCACTACAGAGGACAGACATCACTACAGGGAACAGACATCACTACAGAGAACAGACATCACTACAGAGAATAGACATCACTACAGGGAACAGACATCACTACAGAGTACAGACATCACTACAGAGGACAGACATCACTACAGAGGACAGACATCACTACAGAGAACAGACATTACTACAGAGGACAGACATCACTACAGAGGACAGACATCACTACAGAGGACAGACATCACTACAGAGGACAGACATCACTACAGGGAACAGACATCACTACAGAGAACAGACATCACTACAGAGAATAGACATCACTACAGAGAACAGACATCACTACAGAGAATAGACATCACTACAGAGAACAGACATCACTACAGAGAACAGACATCACTACAGAGAACAGATATCACTAGAGAGAACAGACATCACTAGAGAGGACAGACATCACTACAGATGACAGACATCACTACAGAGAACAGACATCACTACAGAGAACAGTCATCACTACAGAGAACAGACATCACTAGAGAGAACAGACATCACTAGAGAGAACAGACATCACTAGAGAGAACAGACATCACTAGAGAGAACAAACATCACTACAGAGAACAGACATCACTACAGAGAACAGACATCACTAGAGAGAACAGACATCACTAAAGAGAACAGACATCACTAGAGAGAACAGACATCACTACAGAGTACAGACATCACTACAGAGTACAGACATCACTACAGAGGACAGACATCACTACAGAGGACAGACATCACTACAGAGAACAGACATTACTACAGAGGACAGACATCACTACAGAGGACAGACATCACTACAGGGAACAGACATCACTACAGAGAACAGACATCACTACAGAGAACAGACATCACTACAGAGAACAGACATCACTACAGAGAACAGATATCACTAGAGAGAACAGACATCACTAGAGAGGACAGACATCACTACAGATGACAGACATCACTACAGAGAACAGACATCACTACAGAGAACAGTCATCACTACAGAGAACAGACATCACTAGAGAGAACAGACATCACTAGAGAGAACAGACATCACTAGAGAGAACAGACATCACTAGAGAGAACAAACATCACTACAGAGAACAGACATCACTACAGAGAACAGACATCACTAGAGAGAACAGACATCACTAGAGAGAACAGACATCACTAGAGAGAACAGACATCACTAGAGAGAACAGACATCACTACAGAGAACAGACATCACTACAGGGAAAATACATTACATTTACATTTTAGTCATTTAGCAGACGCTCTTATCCAGAGCGACTTACAGTTAGTGAGTGCATACATTCTTTTTTGTATTTTTCATACTGGCCCCCCGTGGGAATCAAACCCACAACCCTGGCGTTGCAAACGCCATGCTCTACCAACTGAGCTACATCCCTGCCGGCCATTCCATCCCCTACCGTGGACGACGCTAGGCCAATTGTGCGCCGCCCCATGGGTCTCCCGGTCGCGGCCGGCTACGACAGAGCCTGGATTCGAACCAGGATCTCTAGTGGCACAGCTAGCACTGCGATGCAGTGCCTTACACCACTGCGCCACTCGGGAGATTAACAATAGAGAACAGACATCACTACAGAGAACATTCATCACTAGAGAGAACAGACATCACTAGAGAGAACAGACATCACTACAGAGTACAGACATCACTAGAGAGAACAGACATCACTACAGAGTACAGACATCACTAGAGAGAACAGACATCACTACAGAGAACAGACATCACTACAGAGGACAGACATCACTAGAGAAAACAGACATTATGGACATTAAAAACAGGAGGACACAACAAGGCATGCAGTGTAACTGTAACCTAACGTTCTTATTGAGTGCTGTACCCAGGGATCTAAAAGAGTGGCAAAAGACTGGTTTCAGAGAGAGAGACTAAGAGCGAGATAGAAAGAGAGAGGGAGGGTATCTTGCCTGGACTGGAGGTTTTTGATGCGGGCCAGCATGTCTAAGTGGCCGGCTGAATACTGCTCTATGACATCCATCACGTCGTATGGCCGCAGGCTCTCTTTGAACTTCCTCTTGGAGACCATGAACCTCATAATGCTGAGGAGAGAGAGATGTTTCAGATATGAACACAACCTCAAGGGGACATTTCATAGATGTATGGTCATTCTACTAGCGTTGGGGGGAATTATGTGGGGCATGAGAATTCTTAATCAACTTTATACATGTCTGTATAACAGTGTAAACCGATTTCCCCAGATTGAGTATACTAGTGCAGGACTGAAAAATAATACAGATTTTAAAAAAAATACAGATTGAGATTGTGACCTGACTAGGATTGCAAAATTACAGTAATTTCTGTATCTTTCCCAAAATTCCCAGGGTTTCCAGAAATACCAGTTGAAAGAGTCCCAGAATCAGGAGTGAGTAAGCAGGAAATATGGAATCCACCAATCAGGATTTCTGGAAACCCTGGGAATTTTGGGAAAGTTAGACATTTTGCAACACTAGAACTGAGCCAGACCCACTCTGAAAGACAACACTTGTCTTGGCTTACCAAATGGCCCTGATGGAGACCTTGAGTCCGGGAGTTAAGTCCTGAGGGACAAACTCACAGTGGCAGCTCTTATTGTCGTCCGCTATGTCCTCACCAGGGAGGCTGGCTTCTACGAAACACAACAAGCACATGAGAGCTCCTGTGTTAGCGTGTTCCTGTGGGTTGGGGTGGATGGAAAGGCTGAGCTGTCGGGGTGGATGGAAAGGCTGAGCTGTCATCTGCACTCTCATTCCATCTTTTATGATGTCAGTCTGCATGGAACCAAGCGAAGGCGAGGCACGGCCATTAACTTGCACAGCCCAGGGTTACAGTGTGGGATTGGGAGCCGGGTCAAATCGAGGGCAGGTTAATGGCAGTGTCGGTTCATCTCATTGGCCAATGCAGGACAAGGTAAAGGAAAAGAGGGGGGGTGGGGTGGCCCAAAAATATCTACAGTACAAAACATGGATGCTCAATAAGCAGCTATAAACAAGCTATAGCAGGACAGCTAACTCTGTGATCAAATTATCTTTCTATATCTTGAACTAAATTAATAGTGGAAACAGTGCAACAGTATACCAGTGTAAACCGGCCGTACTGTATATCATTCATTATATTTAGCATCAAACATTTCTGATACTCCTTTCTGTATCAAACTTTTCTATGTGAGGCTGAGTCACTGCACTTACTGTCCGTTTGACTGGAAGGCAGGAGCAGAGGAGTGTGGATATTGGCTTGTGCAGTCACACATTTCACTTTCAATTATTGTAATGGATTGGTTTTCTATTTTGGGGCTCTAAAAGGTCAGACTCAAGTTGGTAATTTGCATCAGTGGGAGGTTCAGACTGCACTGGTGAAAGGGCTGAGAAAATATCTTCCTATATATTTCAATGTTGGTGTTGTATTTGAAAGGGTATACAGTAGATTTCTCTCTTTTTAAGACCATAATGTTTTTATGGTGTGCCAGTGGCTTTGTTTTTCTGTGGTTCTGTGTATCTATGTAGTATGTATCTTGTATGAGTATCTAGTATGACTATCTACTATAATCAAGTACTGTACGTCTGTGTGAACTTGGAACTCAATAAATATAAAGCAGATGTCTGTATTGACAAAAAAAATTGAGCTTGAACTTGCCTTATGAAGGTGTCAATATTTTTGGGCCACAGCATTGACCTATCCCAGTTTCACTCCAACAGCTAAAAACATTGTGCTCCTAATGCCAACCAAACTACAGAGCCATGAAACTGCAACACATCTTCCCCAACATGGCTTCCATTTTAAGGGGAGGGAGGGGAACAAGTGTCACTGTTCTGTAGTGCTGTGTTTAAGGGCCCATAGTGGGCGCCTAAGACTGACTGACTCCGTGAGATTGGACGGCTTCCTTCATGCAGGTTAGAATGCAACAGCGGCAGCCATTTTGAGTTGAGTGCATGGCTTTTGGGCTGCTTGCTAGGAGTTGGAGTGGGCTATTACGGAAATGATGGGACCCGCCCACTACTGTGCTCATGGAATGGGTCTTAGAGTTGGGCATGCATTCTTTTGCTTCTATCATATAAACAGTCGTTGCTATTTGCTTTGATCTGGTGGCCATCCCCCTAGCAGACATGGGATGTTTTCTTACTGATTAACCCCTCCATTGCTGCAAAGGAGGTGGAGAGGAGGAAAATACAATACATTAAAGCTGGTTAAATAGTGTGTGGGGGGGGGGGAATGAACAAACACAGGCTTATTAGGAACTGAAATACAATATGATGTAAAAGAACCAGAGGGCAGTGGTGATATTCAGTTGGGTATCTTGTCATGTATTACACAACCTCTCTGAAGGTACAATGCAGGACTGTTGGGTATTTCCAGATCTGCATTGTGAAGAGGAGGCATGATAAGTAAAAATGATGGGAATCCCTTAAATGTAGTTAGGTACAGTAATTAGTGGAATTGACTGAAGAGGAAAAGGACTGCAGCAACAAGAAGCTTGATTCCGCACTAGGACTGAGAGATTAGGAGATTAGACTGTATTATTTGCTCCACTTATTACAAACGGGCAGGGAAGAACATTTGGAAATAATTGAAATTGCAAATGCATGCTAGAAATAGGGAGTTTTTACTCATAGCAACCTCTTAATTAATGTACATTGTTGCTGTATTGTACCTTCAGGAGAAGAATATACCATTTCCACTCAAATCCAGGATCTAAATAGAAACTGATACAGTGAGGGGAAAAGTATTTGATCCCCTGCTGATTTTGTACGTTTGCCCACTGACAAAGAGATGATCAGTCTATAATTTTAATGGTAGGTTTATTTGAACAGTGAGAGACAGAATAACAACAAAAAAAATTCAAAAATGTTATTAATTGATTTGCATTTTAATGAGGGAAATAAGTATTTGACCCCTCTGCAAAACATGACTGGCAAAACCCTTGTTGGCAATCACAGAGGTCAGACGTTTCTTGTAGTTGGCCACCAGGTTTGCACACATCTTGCAGGCGCTGCAGGATTTCAGTCCTTCACGGCGTAGTGTGTTACCAATTGTTTTCTTGGTGACTATGGTCCCAGCTGCCTTGAGATCATTGACAAGATCCTCCCGTGTAGTTCTGGGCTGATTCCTCACCGTTCTCATGATCATTGCAACTCCACGAGGTGAGATCTTGCATGGAGCCCCAGGCCGAGGGAGACTGACAGTTATTTTGTGTTTCTTCCATTTGCGAATAATCGCACCAACTGTTGTCACCTTCTCACCAAGCTGCTTGGCGATGGTCTTGTAGCCCATTCCAGCCTTGTGTAGGTCTACAATCTTGTCCCTGACATCCTTGGAGAGCTCTTTGGTCTTGGCCATGGTGGAGAGTTTGGAATCTGATTGATTGATTGCCTCTGTGGACAGGTGTCTTTTATACAGGTAACAAGCTGAGATTAGGAGCATTCCCTTTAAGAGTGTGCTCCTAATCTCAGCTTGTTACCTGTATAAAAGACACCTGGGAGCCAGAAACCTTTCTGATTGAGAGGGGGTCAAATACTTATTTCCCTCATTAAAATGCAAATCAATTTATAACATTTCTTACATGCGTTTTTCTGAAATTTTTTGTTGTTATTCTGTCTCTCACTGTTCAAATAAACCTACCATTAAAATTATAGACTGATCATTACTTTGTCAGTGGGCAAACGTACAAAATCAGCAGGGGATCAAATACTTTTTTCCCTCACTGTAAATATGGAGGCAAATTCATGTCATCAAGTAAACTAACCATTCTGGATAGTGCATTCAAATAACATTTCGTATGTGTTAACTGTTCAACGTTTACATTATTTATGCATCAAGAAAACTATTTCAGGATCATGAGATCGGCCTGATTAAATAATCAATTTTGGGAAACCAACAATTCAATTAAGGTGCTACTTTAATCATGTTGATTTCATTCAGTCAACAGTTCCCATATTGTGATGTCATAATAAAGCAGTGGGCATATTCATTTACATAATTAGAAAAGAGGAGGAGCACTGCTTATCTACATAATATGGGGATATCAACCATATAAAACATGTATCACTTTTTTTTTTTAAATCTCTGATCTCTGAAAATTATCCTTTGGCATCCATTGAACATTATCCAACAACCAATCATTAAAAAAAATTAAAAAATAGAAAAATGCTTTTATGAATACTGAATTTCTAAATAAAAATAATACAAAGATTTTGCTACCAATCCCTACAAATACCATCTTCATAACGCATTATAAGCACATCTATAGTGCCTATACTTCATAAGGGGTTAAAAATGCTTTATGAATAGGGTATTCATAGAAAGTGTTACCAAGATTGTCATACTAGTTGCAGTCACTTATTGTACCTCAAAATTGTGAAAGGGCATGTTGTGATAAAATTGTAATTTGACAGTAAAAAACCCTACACTGCAATGCAGCAACCAGTGATAATGCTGTGGAAATCTGCATTGTATATACAATAAGCTAGCTAGCAAACTCAATCAAAATGTCACTCTCTGAAAATCAGGGTTCCAAAGCCGTTTAAGCTATGGCTACACATGAGCATGACCCAACTGATACAATTCTGGAAATCTGCTAACTTTTTCAGCACTATACAAATTGCTATATATCGGTCCGATTTTGAGCTTATTCCACTGCTCACATACAATGGCTTCCGAAAGTATTCACCCCCCTTGGCATTTTTTCTATTTTGTTGCCTTACAACCTGGAATTAAATTAGTTTTTTGGGGGGGTTTGTATCATTTGATTTACACAACATGCCTACCACTTTGAAGATGCAAAATCTTTTTTTGGGTGAAACAAACAAGAAATAAGACAAAAAAAACAGAAACCTTGAGCGTGCATAACTCTTCAACCTCCCAAATACAATGCCACCTTTTTAGAGCCACCTTTTGCAGCAATTACAGCTGCAAGTCTCTTGGGGTATGTCTCTATAAGCTTGGCACATCTAGCCACTGGGATTTTTGCCCATTCTTCAAGGCAAAACTGCTCCAGCTCCTTCAAGTTGGATGGGTTCCGCTGGTGTACAGCAATATTTAAGTCATACCACAGATTCTCAATTGGATTGAGGTCTGGGCTTTGACTAGGCCTTTCCAAGACATTTAAATGTTTCCCCTTAAACCACTCAAGTGTTGCTTTAGCAGTATGCTTAGGGTCATTGTCCTGCTGTAAGGTGAACCTCCGCCCCAGTCTCAAATCTCTGGAAGACTGAAACAGGTTTCCCTCAAGAATTTCCCTTTATTTAGCCCCATCCATCATTCCTTCAATTCTGACCAGTTTCCCAGTCCCTGCCGATGAAAAACATCCCCACAGCATGATGCTGCCACCACCATGCTTCACTGTGGGGATGGTGTTCTTGGGATGATGAGAGGTGTTGGGTTTGCGCCAGACATAGTGTTTTCCTTAATGGCCAAAAAGCTACATTTTAGACTCATCTGACCAGAGTACCTTCTTCCATATGTTTGGGGAGTCTCTCACATGCCTTTTGGCAAACACCAAACATGTTTGCTTATTTTTTTCTTTAAGCAATGGCTTTTTTCTGGCCACTCTTCCATAAAGCCCAGCTCTGTGGAGTGTACGGCTTAAAGTGGTCCTATGGACAGATACTCCAATCTCCGCAGTGGAGCTTTGCAGCTCCTTCAAGGTTATCTTTGGTCTCTTTGTTGCCTCTCTGATTAATGCCCTCCTTGCCTGGTCCGTGAGTTTTGGTGGGCGGCCCCCTCTTGGCAGGTTGGTTGTGGTGCCATATTCTTTCCATTTATTAATAATGGATTTAAATGGTGCTCCGTGGGATGTTCAAAGTTTCTGATATTTTTTTATAACCCAACCGTGATCTGTACTTCTCCACAACTTTGTACCTGACCTGTTTGGAGAGCTCCTTGGTCTTCATGGTGCTGCTTGCTTGGTGGTGCCCCTTGCTTAGTGGTGTTGCAGACTCTGGAGCCTTTCAGAACAGGTGTGTATATACTGAGATCATGTGACACTTAGATAGCACACAGGTGGACTTTATTTAACTAATTATGTGACTTGTGAAGGTAATTGGTTGCACCAGATCTTATTTAGGGGCTTCATAGCAAAGGGGGTGAATACATATGCACGCACCACTTTTCCGTTATTTATTTTTTAGAATCTTTTGAAAGCAGTTATTTTTTTCATTTCACTTCACCAATGTCCATTACATGAAATCCAAATAAAAATCCATTTAAATTACAGGTTGTAATGCAACAAAATAGGAAAAACGCCAAGGGGGATGAATACTTTTGCAAGGCACTGTATGACAAGATATTGTACAATAGCACTGTACAATAGTCGAACAGTGCCAAATCAGTAGATTAATGTCTTCCCCCAAAGGAAGGATCAATCTAATGTCACATACTTGAACATATTATGTGAATAGTGTTACAACCTTTCAGATTAAAAATATTTGTAGGTTTTGTCATAAAGTATTTATTTTATCATATCTACCGATAATTTCTCTCAAAACTGCGCTATTTAACATGTAAGAATGTAGCATCACTGGTTTAAAAAAAGGTGTGCAAAATTTTAAACTGTTGCTGCATTAAAGCTATGGGCAGTGGAAATCAGTAAACGCAGCATCATAGCGCCTTCATAAGGCTGCCATAGGAACGGCATAGGGCCTGCTATAGGAACGGCATAGGGCCTGCTACAGTATACCATGACATGTAAGCCAAGTGGGCATTATGAAGTGGTGAAATGTACATGTCATACTTGCTTTGTAACAGTGTTATGTCACTTTGTGTAACCGTAATGACATATCATGACAGGTTTTATGCCATCATTTTATATCACTATGATTTATGTCATGATCATGTTATAGAGGCATTATGTGTTTGATAGCCTGGGAATCCAAACTGAAGCCTGGGAATCCAAACTGAAGAGCTCTGTTTTCCTAGGCTAATAATTTGCATGACATAACGGAAATATCAAAAGATGTCAGTAACAGTCATCATCATAAACTGACATAGATTTTTATAGCTTGTTACTGGGTTTATATGATCTATTAAGCATGCTATTAAATGATTGCTGCAATTGAGACCAATAGTTTGGCCACAGTTATCATCTAATGGCATGAGACTGAAATCCATGAGAGACTGATATGCACACTTGTCTTTTTGACACTAATTTTACTCCATATAATGACTTTAGGAAATTGTTTTAACCAAAATGTATATTAAATATTGTCAGATTTTGAGAAATGTTGATCACCAAAACTGATGTTTGAAATCAGATTTGGACCAATTTCATTTCCAAATCATCTTAAAGTTACTTTATTGAGCTACACAATCAATTTGACACTTGAGGGATGATTTAGACATGAAACTCAAGCAAGCATCTCATTAGTATTCAAAGTACCGGTAGATGTTTTTATGATGTCATATTCAAAAACAAAAGACAATCAAACAGAAAACATGAAGGTGATGCCAGCAAATATATATCAACTTTATCCTGCACTATACAGTATGTTCACCTCTTTACAGCTATTTGTCAAATGGCATCATCTTTTTTCAAAGATGAAGGGCTGGTTGCTCAGACACAGATTAAACCTAGTCTTGGATTTAAAAGCACTTTTAATGGATATTTTCCATTGAGCTTTTTAGTCCAGGACTAGGCTTCTGTGTCTGGGGAACCAGCCCAAAAAGCATACCAAACCAAAAACATGATTGCATATCTGTACATTAGGCAATGAGTCCCTCTATATATTGTTTATCGGTGTGTTGATCGTGGGATGGTGCAACAACCCTCCCCCTTTGCCTGACCTGGGGAGCTCTTGTGTCTGAATTCTTCATCCTGCATCTCAATCAGCACTTTAGCACAGCGTCAAACAAAGAAACGAAAAGGAATCGATGAGGATTGCGTATTGCCAATCATGCATAAAATGCATGTTTTCTGTCAAGGTACAGAGAAAACATCATCAAGAGCAACAATTGCATCAATACAGACACACTACTCAGACAGGATATGTTTAACATAAATACCTCATATAGCTCAAACATATGCTGCCATGCTGTTCATGATAAATATCTACGATTAATTAGCAGTATCACTTTAACACTTAAATATCTAAACACTATATAGAGGTGGTCACCATACCAATACTATATACTGTGTGGACAAAACATTAAGAACACCTGCTCTTTCCATGACATAGACTGACCAGGTGAATCCAGGTGAAAGCTATGATCCCTTATTGATGTAACTTGGTAAATCCACTTCAATCAGTGTAGATGAAGGGGAGGAGACAGGTTGAAGAATAATGTTTAAGCCTTGAGACATGGATTGTGTATGTGTGCCATTTAGAGGGTGAATGTGCAAGACAAAAGATTTAAGTGGCTTTGAACACAGTATGGGTAGTAGGTGCCAGGCGCACCGGTTTGTGTCAAGAACTGCAACGCTGCTGTGTTTTTCACCACCCAAAGGACATCCAGCCAACTTGACAACTGTGGAAAGCATTGGAGTCAACATGGGCCAACATCCCTGTGGAAGGCTTTCTACACCTTGTAGAGTAAATGCCCCGACGAATTGAGGCTGTTCTGAGGGCAAAAGGGGATGCAACTCAATATTAGGAAGGTGTTCCTAATGTTTTGTACACTCAGTATATATACTGCTAATAGGATTGTTATAAGACTTGTTATGAACTCATGAGTTCGACATGAAACTGTTTTATAGAGCTATATCGAGGACAGTGGTTATGGTGCTGTCATTATCAGTTCAAATGTTTGTTATAACTTGCCATAGTGTAATGTAGCTAACCAAACCCTTATTATAGCATTAAGTAGCATTATGACAATTTCTGTAACTTTGATGTCCCCTAACTTTATATATATCAACTACATCAGCAGAACATAATCACCACACTGTGCCTTTCTCTAATTGTACTGTCCGAAGTCGGTTTCAAATAAACCAAACAGCAAGGAAACACAGATTCTACAGACAATAGAGAGCAAAGTATCAAAAAAATGGGCACAATAGATACAGTACATAATACAACGGTAATAGTTGTACCATCTGAACGCTCACATCACAACAAACCCATTGCCAAGATGCAACACTAAAGCCATGAAGAATAACACATCATTCAAAAGCTAGACTAAACTCAACATATTAAATACCACAGAAACACATTGTGTAAAGACACTAAGGTACTCCTACCTTCCGAGTTTTGGCGCGAGGTGGCTCCCTTGATGCGGAAGGCTTGACGTGCCCGGCTGCGTTCGCCGAAGCTCCAGCTCTTGGGCACTTTGCTGGGGCTGTCTTCATTGCTGTTGTCTCCGCTGGGGGACCGGCGGATGGGTTGGCCCTGGCTGGGGCCCTGGGGGGAACCTTTCCCTTTGGTCCCCGAGCTCCGGGGACTGGAGAACACACGCTCCTTCAGGCTGACCTTCTGACTGGAAGGGGTCAGAGGGTCAAAAGATGTTGAAAGGAGTTATGTCCTGTGATTACAACTTCAGCAATACAAGTCTGTGTTTTTCTGTGTATTCATGCAAATTCTCATTTACCTAACTGACCTATATGTAGTTATGGTAAGCAGATACTATTGATGTAACTCGTTGTTTACCATGTTTTGGTATTGCCTTCATTAAGGCCCCAAGTGAATATTGTCAATGGAGTATCATCATCTTTAAATTACTAGGCAGTAAGTAATCAGTCAAATAAAGTTTTTCAATAAATCTCCTCATTTTATTGGGCTTGTCTAAAACACTAACAGAAACACATAATCCTGTCTTTTTCTCATTCACAAGCTCAACATATCTGTGGCCATATGACTGAATCGCCTGAGTAAGCACATGCACGACCTATGAGAATGGTCACGTGCACTACCTATGAGCACGTGCACTACCTATGAGCATGGCCAGGAGTCCATCAGAGGACAGTGTCAGGGCACAACTGTCCCCCACTCATAAATAACGTTCTCATTGATGTCAAGCCATCATGCATCATTAGTTAGGAATTGGATGGGTTAATATGAGTGTCAGTAAGTAAGCCTCTGTGTTGTTGTATGTGTCCTTGTCTGCTTCCCAAATGGCACCCTATTCCCTATGTAGTGCACTTCTAAGTAGTGCAGTATATAGGGAATAGGGTGCTATTTGGGATGAATCCCGTGTATACAAAGCAGTTGGTCACCTTGCTGGTCACTTTGGAACTAACCGGAAATTTGGGTTGGAGATTTTTTTTTACGTTGTTGTGAAATAATGTTTTGAAACTGACCTTGGGGAGGGCTCCGTTTGGGCTTCCTTTCTGTTTGGTCAGGAAACACAAAGTTGCACACACACACACAAACAAACACAAAAACAGAAACACACACAAATGCACACACATTCAATTGTCAATAGTCTGTCAATCTCAAGCAAAAGTCTGATTGTATTGATGCTATATTTTCCATAATGTTATAATGACAAATTGCATTTTAGGAGGTGATGAATTCAGATTGTTTCTGACCTGAATGACAGTCCCGACTTGCTCTTCAGGTTTCTTAGGAGATCAAGTTGATTTAGCGGAGGGATCAGTCTACTTAGAAAAACAAGACGTGTCGTGTTACAGGGAAGCAGAAAAAAGCATTCCACAGCACAGCTTCACTTCACAGAATGCAGTCAACATGGGCCAGCATCCCTGTGGAACACTTCCGACACCTTGTAGCGTCCACGCCCTGAAGAATTGAGGCTGTTCTGAGGGCAAAAGAGGGGTGCAACTCAATATTAGGACGGTGTTCCTAATGTTTTATACACTCAGTATATATTATTCAGGATGCAATCAGTGCCATCTATGGGTAGTAGGCGATATATTTCCTTCTTTATTTTGTGTACCTCCCTCTCCTTACCAAAAGCTTGAATTCTGGGAGGACGTTTTCAATTGCCTTGTAACCAGAACTAAGATGGCATTTTCCTTCCATGTTTAGAATGCAGATAAGAGAATATATGACACAATATAAAAAAACTGCAATAACTATCCAATTCAGTCATCTTCCAACATTTTATAATAGATGCTTGTCTTCCGTAATGTTCTGTTCAATTATAATTCACTGTTGACATACAGCCTTTGCATCCAATTAGACCCCTCAACTTTCGAAGTAGCCTGTTGTTCCATATGAGACATCACATAGCACACTTTAATCTAAGACTTGCCGTATCCAATGAAACCTGTTCTGCAGATTATGTAAAAAATACCCAGTCCTTTGGCCTTGGGCCCGCCATGTGACAACCAGATATGGCCCGCCATATGACAACCAGATATGTCCCGCCATGCGAGAACCAGATATGTCCCGCCATGCGACAACCAGATATGTCCCGCCATGCGACAACCAGATATGTCCCGCCATGCGACAACCAGATATGGCCCACCATGCGACAACCAGATATGTCCCACCATGCGACAACCAGATATGGCCCACCATGCGACAGACAGATATGTCCCGCCATGCGACAACCAGATATGTCCCGCCATGCGACAACCAGATATGGCCCACCATGCGACAACCAGATATGGCCCACCATGCGACAACCAGATATGGCCCACCATGCGACAACCAGATATGGCCCACCATGCGACAACCAGATATGGCCCACCATGCGACAACCAGATATGGCCCACCATGCGACAACCAGATATGGCCCACCATGCGTCAACCAGATATGGCCCACCATGCGACAGACAGATATGGCCCACCATGCGACAACCAGATATGGCCCACCATGCGACAACCAGATATGGCCCAACATGCGACAGACAGATATGGCCCACCATGCGACAACCAGATATGGCCCACCATGCGACAACCAGATATGGCCCACCATGCGACAACCAGATATGGCCCAACATGCGACAACCAGATATGGCCCAACATGCGACAACCAGATATGGCCCACCCCGGTAGGCATTTTTCCCTCTATCAATCAATACTCAATCTCAAGTCAGACATCTAGACATCTAAGAGGTATACTACAAATCATGTTCAATGAGTTAACCAGCTAACTTTGATATACAAAAACTAATTGCTACAGATTTTCAGGTTCATTAAGAAAGCTAAACTTCGATATGTGTTTTGGATTATTAAGACAATTAGACCATACCCATTTCAAGCTTATCTTTCAAAAAAAATAAGTAATGTTATTTCAGAATATTTAGGCAAGTTAGCTGGCTAACTCATTGATCCTGCGTTGTAGTATATCCCTCTGGCCTAGTAAATTAAGATAAATAACTAAACACAAACAGTATGCTTTGGCAAGCATGTCAATGTCACCAAATTGTTACAAACCAACGGAAATTGTGAACCATAATTCATCCAAATTGAATTTGAAACGGAACAGAGGGGAAAGCGTCAGTCTTTTTTATTTGTCTCACAACGTGTGTGTGTGTGTGTGTGTGTGTGTATGTGTCCATTATGGTATGCTGTGCCATGTGTGTGTCTGTGCTATTCCGTGTGTGTGTGTGTGTGTGTGTGTGTGTGTGTGGTGTGCATGTGTGTGTGTGTGAGCATGTGTTACCGGACATTGAGTGGGGGGTAAAATGAAATGGAAATATAAGGTCACTGGTGTGGTGGGCTCCATAAAGTAAAGGTCTAGGTGGCATTTCTCCTCTCTGACAAAGCAGGAAAGGCCAGGCATCAATCAAACATTTTAGGTGGACATCAAAAAGCTTGCACTGCCAGACCCTGACGACATGAGATAAATAATTATCGTAAAACACAGTCAGTGCCTGCCTGCAACAGCACCCATCTAATACTGAGCAATATGTTGAAGTCAAAGAGGGAACAAAACATCCAAACTGATACCAGTTACACCCCGACATGGGATTGGAGCTGTGGTTTCACATATTCCAAAGACGCCCATTCCAAATCTGCTAAAGTAGGTGTGATTTGCATCTCATAAATTATTTATTTTCACAATTTGCATACAGGCTAGAACGAAAAGCAAGTATTATAATTAGTCTCAGGTGGTTGGTGTTGACGTTTTCTGGTTCGTATTTTTGTAATAGAAACTAGTTTCAGATAGTTCCGATTTTCTCTCCCCGTTTAGGTTTGTTTGATTCTGTTCGGTTCCTAGTGAGTACCCTACTATTCCAGACAAGCAGCACCTTGGAAAACCACACCAGAAAGGGGCGTAGATAAAAAGCTATTTTTGCTAATGACAATCCACCTCTGTCTGTCAACACATGATCTCGTGGGATGAAGTGAGCTTGTGCAGTTTTTCTTCCATAAACAAATACAAAGACCACATTAAACCTTGACATTTCCTTTAGAACTATATCATACGTACATTTCTATAATAAATACCATCCTTTTGAAACGAATCCATGTGGTAAAATGTAATGTAATATAAACGTCCTGTGGTTCAGTTGGTAGAGTACGGCGCCATGATACGAAAATGTATGCACCTGCTGTTGTGAGCCACTTAGGATATAAATTATTTGTCATTTATTATTATAATGAGGTATTCGTCTATTGGCTTGGACTAAAAATTCCATCGGGCCCTTAGCCTCTATCAGGTAAGTGCCAAAATAAAGGAAACACTTGAGTAAATGAGGGATACAACGTATATTGAAAGCAGGTGCTTCCACACAGGGGTGGTTCCTGAGTTAATTAAACAATTAAAACATCCCATAATATTATTTTGGTTACCATGGCTAGAAGAAGAGATCTCAGTGACTTTGAAAGAGGGGTCTTACAGGAGCATAGGGGGTTTAAAGGGTGTGTGTGTGTGTGTGTGTGTGTGTGTGTGTGTGTGTGTGTGTCTCAGTCACCTCGGGCCTCATTTATCAAAGATGTGTGCACACAAAAAAGACTAAACCTTGCATGTGCCAGTTTTCCTGCAAAGGTTGGTATATATAAATGTTTAAATTGATGGGAAAGTGTATTTATCTACACGCAAACCTCAAACCATGCATGGGCACAACTTGTAGAAGGCTGATCAACTGTATTGCAGGCAAATAGGCTTATTGTTTGTTTGGGGGAAATGGGAGATGTTTGATGCACAGGAATTCTAATAAGGGTAGGCTAATAAAAACATTAAAACATAGACCTAATGATAAAACAGATCCATTTGCCCGTTGGTAAGGAGATTGCTTAGCAGCATGTCATATAATATATCTATTTACTGTAGGTCTAAATGATAATCATATTACAGGACATGTCTCTCCTTTTCTAACATGACTGGTTTATTCCCGCTAAACAACAAATATTAGTTTACCATTTATCCGTTGCTCATTCAATAGCCAAGCATGCTTGAAAGTAAATACACCGGTAGCCTTGACAGTCTTTGGCAGTATGGGTAGGCTACAGTGTTGCTGTGAGATTGAAGCGTGACATCATTGCCTAGCCTATTTAATCTCAGAGCCAATACCAAGGCAGGAGATAGATTATTATGTTTCTATTGATAAACAAAATATTGAACAACAATTCTTATTTTGCATAGAAGTGTGGGCTGTAGCATTTACTTTTAAATAGTTCGAAAGGACGATAAATCTTTCAGAATGCGCGGCCAGTGTTTGGCACTCGCTAGTCAGCATGCATTCTTTATTTGAAAAAGTCACTGCAACATTCTGCCCACACCGCTACAGAATTGTGATCTAATTTTCTATTGCGATTTCTTTTAGAAACGATCGTAGTCCAGTTCCAACATCTCCAAATCATACAGCAAATGATAGTGGTTTTGTTACCATAAACAGGTGAATGGAGGGTGTTTTCCAGGCGGGGTTGTAGCACTCGTTCACGAACCCACAAATATAGTATGTATCTGATTTCTCAATGAAAACATGAATATATGTTGCGTGCGACAGTTTGATAAATGCCAATAATTTGTGCCACACGCAAATCCTACAATCTCCACATATGCCAGAATTTAGTACGAAATGTACACTTGTAGAATCTATACCAAGGCGCATTGAAGCTGTTCTGGCGGCTCATGGTGGCCCAACGCCCTATTAAGACAATTTATGTTGGCGTTTCTTTCATTTTGGCAGTTACCTGTAGATCCTGATTAGACATCTACATTAACCTTCAGATTGTTATTACTATAACTAAACTTCTATTGACTTGGACCAATAACAATCAATCAGGCCCGTAGCCTCTACATAGATGCTGATTAGACATCTTCATTAACCTTCAGATAGAGGGGAAAGGAATGTGCAAAGGTCAGAGTGGTGGATCGATGGAGGCAGCGATAGCTGGATCCGTCTCAGCTGACACCGGAGAGGAGCAGACGGGGCCAATTTAAATCTAGGTGCTGATTTACTATATATCAATACCTGTACATCGGTGAGGATACGGTGCGTTCGTAATAATCCCACGTCGACTCCAGGTCTGGCCGGGTGAGATTAGTGGCATAGAAGCGCCATGCGGCCTGAGGAGAGAGAGAGAGAGAGATGACATAGAGGAGCGAGAGAGAGACAACACAATTAGACCCAACCAAATCATGAGAAAACTAAAAGATAATTACTTGACACATTGGAAAGAATTAACAAAAAAACTGAGCAAACTAGTATGCTATTTGGCCCTAAACAGAGAGTACACAGTGGCAGAATACCTGACCACTGTGACTGACCCAATCTTAAGGAAAGCTTTGACTATGTACAGCCTCAGTGAGCATAGCCTTGCTATTGAGAAAGGCTGCCATAGGCAGACCTGGCTCTCAAGAGAAGACAGGCTATGTGCACACTGCCCACAAAATGAGGTGGAAACTGAGCTGCACTTCCTAACCTCCTGCCAAATGTATGACCATATTAGTGTGATGAGGTGTGAATGACGGAGTCAGGCGCAGGAGGTAAAACACAGAAATCCAGAGTTTATTCAGTGTACATGAATAAAGCGCAGCAAGCGTCAAAACGAAACTAGCACAAGGGAAAAATCCACCTTGTCTACATACAAGGAAAGAGTAGCTCAACCGAGCTACTCACTCTCACAATGAACAATCACTCAAAGGACAAGGGGGCAGAGGGAACACTTATACACAGACTAATGAGGGAATGAGTACCAGGTGTGTGTGATTGACAAGACAAGACAAATGGAGTGATGATAAATGGAGCGGTAGTGGCTAGTAAGCCGGTGACAACGAACGCCTAAACCTGCCCGAGTAAGGAGGAGGGGCAGCCTCGGCTGAATTCGTGACAGTACCCCCCCCCTTGACGCGCAGCTCCAGCAGCGCGCCGACACCGGCCTCGGGGACGGCCAGGAGGACGGGTGAGCAGGGCGAGTCAGATGGCGACAATGGAAGTCACTCAACAGAGAGGGATCGAGGATATCCCTCACCAGGACCCAGCACCGTTCCTCCGGACCGTACCCTTCCCACTCCACGAGGTACTGAAGGCCCCCCACCCGGCGCCTCAAATCCAGTATGGAACGGACAGAGTACGCCGGCGCCCCTCGATGTCCAAAGGAGGTGGAGGGACCTCCCGCACCTCAGACTCCTGGAGCGGACCAACCACCACCGGCCTGAGGAGAGATACATGAAACGAGGGGTTAATACGGTAATCAGGGGAGGGTAATAACCTATATGTGACCTTGTTGATTCTCCTCAGGACTTTGAACGGCCCTACAAACCGCGGGCTCAGGAACACCGACCACTCCCCCGGCCAGTCCTGGCAATAGGACCTCAGGAACCTACCCACATCCTGATTTACCCGTTCCACCTGCCCATTACTCTCAGGGTGGAACCCAGAGGTCAGGCTGACCGAGACTCCCAGACGTTCCATGAACGCCTTACAAACTTTTGACGTGAACTGGGGACCCCGGTCAGACACTATATCCTCTGGTACCCCGTAGTGCCGGAAGACATGTGTAAACAGGGCCTCCACAGTTTGCAGAGCCGTGGGGAGACCGGGCAGAGGAAGGAGGCGGCAGGCCTTCGAAAAGCGGTCCACAACGACCAGGATGGTGGTGTTCCCTTGAGAGAGAGGCAGATCAGTTTAAAAAATCAACACTCAAATGAGACCATGGTTGTTGTGGAACTGTTAAAGGTTTTAACTTACCCGCTGGGAGGTGCCTTACACTGGGCGCACTGCGGTGGAGATGGATCTGTGCGTAATGCCTGCGCTATATCCGCGTCCATTGCCCATACTACCAGCGCCACAATGCATGAGTCTGGCAGTATGGGGGTATTGTCTCTGGGCCTCTCCTCTGTATTATACAGCTGGGACAGTGCGTCTGCCTTCACGTTCTTCGTACCCGGAATGTATGACAGTGTGAAATCAAACCGGGTGAAGAATAGGGCCCACCTGGCCTGGTGAGGATTCAGCCTCCTCACTGCCCGGATGTACTCCAGGTTACGGTGGTCTGTCCAGACGAGGAATGGGTGTTTAGCCCCCTCGAGCCAATGTCTCCACATGGTCAGAGCTCGGACAATAGCCAACAGCTCCCGATCACCAACGCCGTAGTTCTGCTCCACCGGGCTGAGCTTCTTTGAGAAGAACGCACTTGGGTGGCGTGCCCGAGGGTTGAGACAGGACTGCTCCCATCCCAACCTCGGACGCATCCACCTCCACTACAAACGGTAGTGATGGATCGGGGTGGGCCAGTACCGGGGCCAAGGTGAACAGTTCCCTCAGGTTACTGAAGGCCCTGTCAGCCTCAGCAGACCAGCGGAGCCAGGACGGCCCACCCTTCAACAGAGATGTAATGGGAGCTGCGACCTTGCCAAATCCCCGGATAAACCTCAGATAATAGTTGGCGAAGCCAAGGAAGCACTGCACCTCCTTTACCGTGGTTGGAGTTGGCCAATTACACACGGCTGCAATGCGGTCTCCCTCCATCTCCACACCTGAGGTGGTAATGCGGTCTCCGAGGAAGGAGACGGACTGCTGGAAAAACATACACTTTTCTGCCTTAGCATAAAGGTCATTTTCCAACAGTCGGGCCAGTACTTTGCGAACCAGGGACACATGCTCGGCGCGCGTAGCGGAATACACCAAGATGCCATCGATGTAGACCACTACACCGCGACCAAGCATGTCCCGAAACACCTCGTTCACAAAGGACTGGAAGACTGAGGGAGCATTCATCAAACCATAGGGCATCACCAGGTATTCATAATGCCCCGTGGTTGTGCTGAATGCTGTCTTCCACTCATCTCCCTCTCGGATACGCACCAGGTTGTACGCACTCCTGAGATCTAATTTAGTGAAGAAGCGCGCTCCATGCAATGACTCAACCACTGATGGAATGAGGGGGAGAGGATAATTAAATCTAATAGTCTCCTTGTTCAGTGGTCGATAGTCAATTCACGGGCGCAGACCGCCGTCTTTCTTCTTCACAAAAAATAAACTCGAGGAGGCGGGTGAAGTGGAGGGACGTATGTACCCCTGGCACAAGGACTCGGTGACGTACAGTGGGGAAAAAAAGTTGTCAGCCACCAATTGGGCAAGTTCACCCACTTAAAAAGATGAGAGAGGCCTGTAATTTATATCATAGGTACACGTCAACTATGACAGACAAACTGAGAATTTTTTTTCCCGAAAATCACATTGTAGAATTTTTTATGAATTTATTTGCTAATTATGGTGGAAAATAAGTATTTGGTCACCTACAAACAAGCAAGATTTCTGGCTCTCACAGACCTGTAACTTCTTTAAGAGGCTCCTCTGTCCTCCACTCGTTACCTGTATTAATGGCACCTGTTTGAACTTGTTATCAGTATAAAAGACACCTGTCCACAACCTCAAACAGTCACACTCCAAACTCCACTATGGCCAAGACCAAAGAGCTGTCAAAGGACACCAGAAACAAAATTGTAGACCTGCACCAGGCTGGGAAGACTGAATCTGCAATAGGTAAGCAGCTTGGTTTGAAGAAATCAACTGTGGGAGCAATTATTAGGAAATGGAAGACATACAAGACCACTGATAATCTCCCTCGATCTGGGGCTCCACGCAAGATCTCACCCCATGGGGTCAAAATGATCACAAGAACGGTGAGCAAAAATCCCAGAACCACACGGGGGGACCTAGTGAATGACCTGCAGAGAGCTGGGACCAAAGTAACAAAGCCTACCATCAGTAACACACTACGCCGCCAGGGACTCAAATCCTGCAGTGCCAGACGTGTCCCCCTGCTTAAGCCAGTACATGTCCAGGCCCGTCTGAAGTTTGCTAGAGTGCATTTGGATGATCCAGAAGAGGATTGGGAGAATGTCATATGGTCAGATGAAACCAAAATAGAACTTTTTGGTAAAAACTCAACTCGTCGTGTTTGGAGGACAAAGAATGCTGAGTTGCATCCAAAGAACACCATACCTACTGTGAAGCATGGGGGTGGAAACATCATGCTTTGGGGCTGTTTTTCTGCAAAGGGACCAGGACGACTGATCCGTGTAAAGGAAAGAATGAATGGGGCCATGTATCGTGAGATTTTGAGTGAAAACCTCCTTCCATCAGCAAGGGCATTGAAGATGAAACGTGGCTGGGTCTTTCAGCATGACAATGATCCCAAACACACCGCCCGGGCAACGAAGGAGTGGCTTCGTAAGAAGCATTTCAAGGTCCTGGAGTGGCCTAGCCAGTCTCCAGATCTCAACCCCATAGAAGATCTTTGGAGGGAGTTGAAAGTCCGTGTTGCCCAGCGACAGCCCCAAAACATCACTGCTCTAGAGATCTGCATGGAGGAATGGGCCAAAATACCAGCAACAGTGTGTGAAAACCTTGTGAAGACTTACAGAAAACGTTTGACCTGTGTCATTGCCAACAAAGGGTATATAACAAAGTATTGAGAAACTTTTGTTATTGACCAAATACTTACTTTCCACCATAATTTGCAAATAAATTCATTAAAAATCCTACAATGTGATTTTCTGAATTTTTTTCCCTCATTTTGTCTGTCATAGTTGACGTGTACCTATGATGAAAATTACAGGCCTCTCTCATCTTTTTAAGTGGGAGAACTTGCACAATTGGTGGCTGACTAAATAATTGTTTCCCCCCACTGTATGTCTCCATAGCCTCAGTCTCTGCCTGCGACAGGGGATACACATGACTCCTGGGAGGTACAGCGTCTACCCGAAGGTTTATTGCGCAATCCCCCGCCCGATGAGGTGGCAATTTAGTTGCTTTATTCTTGGAGAAAACTTGTGCCAGATCATGGTATTCGGGGGGAATGCGCATGGTGGAGGCACCGTCTGCACTTTCCACCGTGGTTGCACCATCGGAAACACCCAGACACCTACCCTGACACTCTCGCGACCACCCCGTGAGAACCCTCTGCGGCCATGAGAAAGTGGGATTGTGAAGTGCTAGCCACGGAATACCTAACACCACAGGGAAAGCAGGAGACTCAATGATGGAAAAAGTGACCTGCTCACAATGTGTCTCCTGTGTGATCATGGTGACTGGTACCGTGACTTCCTTTATCAACCCAGACCCTATGGTCGACTATCGAGTGCTCTGATGGGGCGTGGAATGGATAGGGGACTAATGAAATGCCCTGGCGGCGTGCGAAAGTTTTATCCATAAAGTTCCCAGCTGTGCCTGAATCTACTAGCGCCTTACACTTGGGAACTCTCATGTAATCAGGGAAGTATATGGGTATGGTACAGTGCGCAGCAGAGGGCTATGAACAAGTGTGGGTGCTCAATACCTGGGGTGATATGTCCCTTCGTGCCATCCGATTGGCACTGGCGCTGTCGTCTTCCGCTCTCTTGGTGCGCGGTACCACCCAGCTCCATGAGCTCTGGATCCGCGTTGGTCGGGGCGGGAACGGGCAGACCTCCTCCAGGACGTCCTCTGGTTGCCAGCAGGTTATCCAGACGAATGGCCATGTCCACCAGTTCAGTAAAAGACAAACTGGTGTCACGGCAGGCTAGCTCCCGTCGGACGTCCTCCCGTAGATGGCACCGGAACTGGTTGATCAGGGCCCACTCGTTCCACCCGGATCCTGCTGCCAGAATCCGGAACTCCAGTGCGAACTCCTGTACTATCCTCGTACCCTGCCTCAAGTGGACCAGCTGCCGAAATAGGCGGGCGAACTCCCTGTAGTCCTCCAACACGGCTCCACCTTCTCTTCAAACCGCATTGGCCCACTCCAGGGCTTTCCCCGAGAGGCAGGAAATGAGGACGGACACCTGCTCTCAATCTAATGGCGCCGGCCTGACACTGGAGCAGTACAGCTCCAGTTGGAGAAGGAATCCCTGACATAGAGCCGGCGTCCCATCGAACGCCCGTGGTCGAGATATCAGGATCCCTCCAGGTGCTGTGATGTAGGTGGCTGGATCCGGTTGGCCAGCTGGTCTCGACGGATCGGTTCCTCTTCTCTCCAGGCATTGGATGACCTGAAGAACCCGATCCATCGCTTCCCCCAAGCTGGCCAGCATAGTGGAATGTTCCTGGACCCTTGTCACTATTCCAGGCATGCGCTCCTCTCCTGCTGACTCTATAGAGAGTGATTCTGTGATGAGGTGTGAATGACGGAGTCAGGCGCAGGAGGTAAAACACTGAAATCCAGAGTTTATTCAGTGTACATGAATAAAGCGCAGCAAGCGTCAAAACAAAACTAGCACAAGGAAAAAATCCACCTTGGCTACATACAAGGAAAGAGTAGCTCAACCGAGCTACTCACTCTCACAATGAACAATCACTCACAAAGGACAAGGGGGCAGAGGGAACACTTATACACAGACTAATGAGGGAATGAGTACCAGGTGTGTGTGATTGACAAGACAAGACAAGACAAGACAAATGGAGTGATGATAAATGGAGCGGTAGTGGCTAGTAAGCCGGTGACGCCGAAACCTGCCCGAGCAAGGAGGAGGGGCAGCCTCGGCTGAATTCGTGACAATTAGAGACACATATTTCCCTCAGATTACAGAGATCCACAAAGAATTAAAAAACAAACCCAATTTTGATAAACTCCCTTATCTACTGGGTGAAATACCACAGTGTGCCATCACATCAGCAAGATTTGTGACCTGTTGCCACAAGAAAGGGGCAACCAGTGAAGAACAAACACCATCGTAAATACAACCCATATTTATGTTTATTTATTTTCCCATTTGTACTTTAACTATTTGTACATTGTTACAACACTGTATATATACATAATATGACATTTGAAATGTCTTTATTCTTTTGGAACTTCTGAGTGTAATGTTTACTGTTAATATTTATTGTTTATTTCACTTTTGTTTACTATCTACTTCACTTGCTTTGGCAATGTTAACATACGTTTCCCATGCCAATAAAGCCCTTAATTGAATTGAAATGAATTGAATTGAATTGAGAGCGAGGAGATTGAACTCGAGAAGAGAGAGAGAGAGATGAAATAAAGGAGTGAGAGAGAGAGGAGAGAGAGAGAGAGAGAGAGAGGAGCGAGCGAGAAGAGGAGCGAGAGAGAGAGAGTAGAGAGAGAGAGATAGAGATGAATATAGGCTCGAGATAGATCGAGAGAGCGACTAACATCTCGCGATATCTCTCGCAGCTCTCCTCTCCTCTCGCTCTCTCTCTCTCTCTCTCGTCTCTCTCTCCTCCTCCTTCGCTCTCTCACCATATTCGCTCTCTTCTCTCTCCTCCGATCGCTCCCTCTGCTCGCTGCCGTCTGCCTCCTCCCTTGCCCCCTCTCCTCAGCTGCGCCTTCGCGCGCCATAGAGAGAGAGAAATAGAAAGAGAGAGAGAGAGAGAGAGCAGTGCATGGTTTTAAAAGGAAGGTAATGAATACAGCGTTTCCTTTATGTTTTCATACAAATCTTTGCTTGTACACTATATGCATTTCAAAACAGCCAAGCACATATGAACAGCAAGAAGGGAATTACTAAGTGAGCCCTATTACTCATATGTCTTGGCAGAAGCAACACACACTCCGATATCTATCAACCGTGTCACTGTGTGTGTACTGTCTAAGCTGTCTTTCTCTGGCCTGTGTTTGGTGTTTTCACATCATTGTCTGATTGGGCTCTTGGAGTGTTTGGTGTTTTCACATCATTGTCTGATTGGGCTCTTGGAGTGTTTGGTGTTCATTCTAGTAGTTGACTGAGAAGTTGGTTCAGGATCCAGGACTAGAGTAACAGGTATTGTGACAAGGTGCCTGCCACATGGAACGTTTTGCCACATTTGAACAAGCTAGCATGGGAACGTCATGTAGAATGTTTGTCTTGGAAAGAGTACCCTGAAGCTGTTAATTTCCATTATTGTGAAAGCAAAGAGTATTTTGTGAAATTCCCAGGATCCCAGAGTCTATAGAACCCCACCAGGATACCATATCACCAGGATACCATACCACCGGGATGCCATATCACCAGGATACCATACCACCAGGATGCCATATCACCAGGATACCATATCACCAGGATACCATATCACCAAGATACCATATCACCAGGATACCATATCAACAGGATAACATATCACCAAGATACCATATCACCAGGATACCATATTTGAGTGAAAACGCTCTAAATGTTGTTTTTTAGAGCTTACCCGCTCCTGGTTTATTTACCTGAATAAGCCCTGCCGCAGGATTCCGCCTCTTCTCAAAGTGTTTTTGTCGATGTTGCTCCTGGACCTTCAAGGCAAAGCCAGAGCCCAAGATACCCTTAGAGATACAGACAAGCCGTTAGTCACAACAACAAGCCTCTGGAAAACATGACTAATTCACAGTTATATTATGAACTCTTACTTCAGAGTAACACTTGACTATCAAATTGCAGATGCTTTGGGCACTCATTTTCTGAGTATCTTCAGTGCACATTAATAAGTTACTTCAGTCATGTCTTTGGATAAAAGCGTCTTACTGCTGGAAGTGCAAAGAAAGATACTCCAATCAAGGTGAAGGTTGCGGCGAGAAGACGTCCATTCCACGTTATGGGAAACTTGTCTCCGTACCCAATGGTAGTCAGGGTGATCTGAGAAGGCAATTGGCAGACATCTTGAATTACACCTCTGTTATCAATATTCACAGTGTTTTTTCATCTCACACAAAGCTGTTACATGTAACAAGACAATCATTCTCCGAGGCTGTTATTCAGATCGTCTCTCGTGAAGGGTGACATAAGAAGATACCATCGGTCATGTTAAGTCCCAAGGTTGAATTACACTAATCTCCTCTTCCTTTAGATTCCCAGTTCACACAAGTACTGGGTGTTTTATAAGAACCTATAGAAATTATCCTATTAAGAAATGCTGGGTGTGGTGACTGAAATGTTGCTGTTAAAGAACTGGCTATTTCATGGGGACGTCCACAAATTCAGTTTAAAACAAGTGCAGGATGTTTTGTTGGGACCTGACAAACGTATCCTATTAGAAACCGCTGAGTGTTTTGTGGGGACATACAGTACATACATTCTCCTATCAGCAACCACTGAGTGTTTTGTGGGGACCTACAGACATTCTCTTATTAGCAACCGCTGAGTGTTTTGTGGGGACCTACAGACATTCTCTTATTAGCAACCGCTGAGTGTTTTGTGGGGACATACATACATTCTCTTATTAGCAACCGCTGAGTGTTTTGTGGGGACATACATACATTCTCCTATCAGCAACCACTGAGTGTTTTGTGGGGACATACATACATTCTCTTATTAGCAACCGCTGAGTGTTTTGTGGGGACAGACATTCTCCTATTAGCAACTGCTGGGTATGGTTTGTAAGGACATGTGGAACCAGGCTCAGAGTGACTTACCAGGCCCCACCACAGTGCGTCTGCGTAGGTCTCAAACTGGTCATTGTCCTCTTTCTCTGCCAGGTAGACCAGGAAGGATGCCAGGATGAGGCAGAGGAAGCCAATGTACCACGCCGTGATCAGCTCCTGCAAAAGGTTAAAGGTCAAGGTGTCAGAAAGGAACGCAAACAATACAGCAACTGCATATTCATTTCAAGGTCAGAGTATCGAAGCAATATTACCTTTGCGAGAAAACTTGCTTTATTAAATGAATAGATGCCAGCTATTTGCATATTTATTTTATGACCAGAGTACAAAAGCAATATTATTTTTAAAATAAAAAAGTATTGTATTGGGCTCTCTCTCTAACGGGCAGATGCAAAAAGTATGAAACTAAAGGATGTGAATGTGGTTACCAGTGTTAGGGAGTAGTGAACTACATGTAGTTCAACTAGTAATTTAATTACATTTTCCAGCAGCTTGGTGGTAGTTTAACTAAATTCACATCTAAGTAGTGTTTTCAGTAGTTCATTACTTTTTTTTGCCATGTAGTGGTGTAGCTAAATACTGGAACTACACACTACCTTTTTTTGCAAAAGTTGTATATGCTTAGGCAACAATTTCCTTTCTTTTTCAGCATTAGACCTGCCCAATTCTCACTTAAAACATAGTTTTTGTGTTTAAGAGGTTAAATGACACATTTTGTTAACATATGACCCCAAAGTGATCTGTTCTTGTAGTTTGTAGTCTATGCCATTTCAGATTTTTCACCAAGTAGTTTGGATGTAGTGAACTACTTTTTCAAAGTAACTTTAGTTAAGTAAATTATTACTGAACAAAAATATAAACGCAACATGCAACAATTTCAACGATTTTACTGAGTTACAGTTCATATAAGGAAATCAGTCAATTGAAATAAATAAATTAAGCCCTAATCTATGGACTTCACCTGACTGGGCAGGGACGCAGCATAGTCCCACCCACTTGGGAGCCAAGCCCACCCACTGGGGAGCCAGTTTTTCCCCACAAAAGGGCTTTATTACAGACCGAAATACTCCTCAGTTTCATCAGCTGTCTGGGTGGCTGGTCTCAGACGATCCCGCAGGTTAAAAAGCCGGATGTGGAGGTCCTGGGCTGGCGTGGTTTCACATGGTCTGCGGTTGTGAGGCCGATTGGACATACTGCCAAATTCTCTAAAATGACGTTGGGGGCGGCTTATGGTAGAGAAATTAACATTAAATTCTCTGGCAACAGCTCAGGTGTACATTCCTGCAATCAGCATACCAATTGCATGCACCCTCAAAATTTGAGACATCTGTGGCATTGTGTTGTGTCACAAAACTGCACATTTTAGTGGCCTTTTATTGTCCCCAGCACAAGGTGCACCTGTGTAATGATCATGATGTTTAATCAGCTTCTTGATATGGTGGTCCTCTGTAGCTCAGCTGGTAGAGCACGGCGCTTGTAATGCCAAGGTAGTGGGTTCGAACCCCTGGACCACCCATACACGAAAAAATTTATGCACGCATGACTGTAAGTCGCTTTGGATAAAAGCGTCTGCTAAATGGCATATTATTATTATTGATATGCCACACCTGTCAGGTGGATGGATTATCTTGGCAAATGAGAAATGCTCACTCACAGGGATGTAAACAAATTTGTGCACAACATTTGAGAGATATAAGCTTTTTGTTCATATGGAAAATTTCTGGGATCTTTTATTTCAGCTCATGAAACATGGTACCAACATTTTACATGTTGCGTTTATATTTTTGTTCAGTATATATTTTTCTTAAGGGTAGCTTTAGTGTAGCTTTCAGTGTGAAGTAATTGGTAGCTTGGTAAATTATCTTTCAGAGTAGCTTCCCCAACACTGGTGGTTCCATTTATAAATGTGAGGTACTGCCAGAAGAGCCGTATCTTACACTACTAGTTTTATGGAAAGTTTAAAAGGACAGTTCAACATCTCCAAGGGTTACCAACATGAGTCCCCAATGCCAATGTATATTCATTCTATAACATATCATGCCAATCAAGATATTATCATTTATGTAGTTAAAACATCGTATCACTGTTATATTCACTGATATTATCAAATACTGATTTTTTACCACAGAAAAGTCATTGAAACGTAAGCTTTTTTCAATCCAGTGAACGTTGTACCCTATAAATGTGTCAGGTTATAGCCTGGTAGTAAAAGATGCAGTGCTGGATAGATAGAGTATCAGGTCCACTTTGTCCTTGTCCAGGTGCTGCAATCAGCATGAGGAAATAACCTAGTTGGCTACACAATCCACTGGGACGCCTGCCCCTCTTCAAAGGGGATGGGTGGAAGCCTAGGTTGGCATGCCCTCTTTGAAAGTGAGAAACTCCCTTTACACAATAGACAGTAACTAACAACCAACTTACCATTTTAACCCACTCTTATTCACTGTCCAAACCCCCAAATTGAATGAGCAAACAGCGGATGCGGTGTCTGTCAACTCATGCATATTTAAACAACAAAAAATAAGCTTTTCATGATAAGCATAAATTTGTTAAAGATAGAAATGGACAGTATTTTTCTTTTTCAACAGCTTCCCTATTCTCCTGGCTGGTTTAGAACAGAAACGGAGGATTAGTTAAACAGACCTCTACCTTCTGGGCTGTTTCACATGGAATTTTGTACCAAGTTTGTGAGGACACAATGAATGAGTCGTTCATTGACAGATTATATAGGCTACATTTGTTGCAAGTAACCCGACCATTTATTTGACTCTAAAATGTAAACAAAAAATTAAATTTTGTTCACACTTCTTGACTTCGATATAGAACAAACGACTCATATTTGCTAAAAAAAAACAAGTGTGATGCTACATAGATACAGTGTATTATAACGTTCTCAAACACATTATCAACCATATGCATTTAGTGTAAACAGAGCACCAGTACATTTTTAAATGTACATTTTACATGTTTGTCTTTTAGCAGACGGTCTTATCCAGAGTGACTTACTATGAATAAGATATGTGGTTGTCCCACCTACAGTGAGGGAAAAAATTATTTGATCCCCTGCTGATTTTGTACGTTTGCCCACTGACAAAGACATGATCAGTCTATAATTGTAATGGTAGGTTTATTTGAACAGTGAGAGACAGAATAACATCAACAAAATCCAGTCAAACGCATGTCAAAAATGTTATAAATTGATTTGCATTTTAATGAGGGAAATAAGTATTTGACCGCTCTGCAAAACATGACTTAGTACTTGGTGGCAAAACCTTTTTTGGCAATCACAGAGGTCAGACGTTTCTTGTAGTTGGCCACCAGGTTTGCACACATCTCAGGAGGAATTTTGTCCCACTCCTCTTTGCAGATCTTCTCCAAGTCATTAAGGTTTCGAGGCTGACGTTTGGCAACTCGAACCTTCAGCTCCCTCCACAGATTTTCTATGGGATAAGGTCTGGAGACTGGCTAGGCCACTCCAGGACATTAATGTGCTTCTTCTTGAACCACTCCTTTGTTGCCTTGGCCGTGTGTTTTGGGTCATTGTCATGCTGGAATACCCATCCACGACCCATTTTCATTGACCTGGCTGAGGGAAGGAGGTTCTCACCCAAGATTTGACAGTACATGGTGCCACAACACTTTCACCCAGTTCTCCTCTGAATCATTCAGATGTTCATTGGCAAACTTCAGACGGGCCTGTATATGTGCTTTCTTGAGCAGGGGGACCTTGCGGGCGCTGCAGGATTTCAGTCCTTCACGGCGTAGTGTGTTACCAATTGTTTTCTTCGTGACTATGGTCCCAGCTGCCTTGAGATCATTGACAAGATCCTCCCGTGTAGTTCTGGGCTGATTCCTCACCGTTCTCATGATCATTGCAACTCCACAAGGTGAGATCTTGCATGGAGCCCCAGGCCGAGGGAGATTGACAGTTATTTTGTGTTTCTTCCATTTGCGAATAATCACACCAACTGTTGTCACCTTCTCACCAAGCTGCTTGCCGATGGTCTTGTAGTCCATTCCAGCCTTGTGTAGGTCTACAATCTTGTCCCTGACATCCTTGGAGAGCTCGTTGGTCTTTGCCATGGTGGAGAGTTTGGAATCTGATTGATTGATTGCTTCTGTGGCCAGGTGTCTTTTATACAGGTAACAAGCTGAGATTAGGAGCACTCCCTTTAAGAGTGTGCTCCTAATCTCAGCCTGTTACCTGTATAATAGACACCTGGGAGCCAGAAATCTTTCTGATTGAGAGGGGGTCAAATACTTATTTCCCTCATTAAAATGCAAATCAATTTATAACATTTTTGACATGCGTTTTTCTTGATTTTTTTGTTGTTATTCTGTCTCTCACTGTTCAAATAAACCTAACATTAAAATTATAGACTGATCATTTCGTTGTCAGTGGGCAAACGTACAAAATCAGCAGGGGATCAAATACTTTTTTCCCTCACTGTAGCTATCTTAAGATGAATGCACTAACTGTAAGTCAAATTTCCCTAAATAAAGTAGCTATCAGCCAAGTCAGAAGTAGGGTTAGAGCCTCCTCCCTACCTCCTGCCTCAGTGAATTCTGCTTATGCTCAATCCCAAGGCTCTGTTAAATATCAACTTGCAGGAGAAAAACACTGCCTTTATCAGTGTTAATATATCGCAACATGACAAGGCTGCACAGCCATCTAGCTGTTCCATCTCAACAGGCAGGCAGAAGACAGGAACGGTGTGGCGAGCCAAATCCAATAAGACTCGATAGTCCATGGCCGCTTTGGCTTCTGAACTGTCAGACTCAGGACCTGAACCATTTTGCCCTGACACTCCTCTCTACCAGGAGACGTCATTAGACACTCCACTGCTCTCTGCTCTTCTTCTCCCCGGCTCTCTATGGGGACTGTGTTGCTATGCATCACTGGGAGACATTTAAGGAACCACTCTGGGAGAAACTGGGAGACACTTAATTCCCCATTGAGAGTGCTCCATTTATCAGGCCAAGTGTTTGTCCCAAATGGCACCCTATTTCCTATATAGTGCACTACTTTTGACCAGAGCCCTATAGGCCCTGGTCAAAAGTAGTGCACTACATAGAGCATAGGGTGCCATTTGGGACGCTACCCAAGCTTCAGGAGCCTTTGATAAATTGGAGGGTACATCTAGTTAGTTAAAGTGGGTTCGAGATCAGTCACAGCACGCCCTGTGGGGAGCTTGATGATGAGTGTGTTGTTTTCTGTGCTGTAGATGTATTAGAACAATCTGAGAGCTGTAATGTAATGTCCCCAGAAGTTGTTATTTGACAGATGGTTGTTTAAGTCGCCTGTCAATCAATCTGGTTAGAGGGAGGGGTCAGTGTTAATGTCATACGGCTGGCTGTGTGATCAATTAACTTGGATCGACACATTTGACATGTGGTATTAGTTGACTTGACTTGTCTGCGGAAGCTCAAGTCCAGATATTGGATTTATAGAAACATGCTGCAATGCGGGCAAGGAGCCAGATTGGGGTGGCGAGGTACAGGCATCAGATCAATCAATCAATCACACACTCCATCCAGCCCTGGTCTTTGATTACCTTGCTGTGAGCGTAGACGACAGATCCCAGGAGTTTCCAGGTGCCTCCGCGGCGGTCCATCCGGATCATGCGCAGGATCTGCAGGAACCTCAAACTCCGGATGGCCGACGTAGCAAACACATTCCCCTGGGTTCCCGCCGCCAGCACAGAGATGGACGCAATCAGCACCATGACGTCTGAGAAAGAGGGACATTTTTCAGACATTTTCAGAATCATTCAAAAAGTATATATTTCATTGCACACATTTGTTTTATTTTTGTGCATGTACTGGATGTATATTTGTATGCTATATAATGGTAGTTTTTAATATCACAGGACATAAAAAATAATCAGCATTAAGATTATATAAAATACACAGACAATAGATGGACAACAGAGTTGAAATCAGAATTCAGTTGTGAGGAAGTCAAGAATCTCTATCTTCAAGAGATAGAGTTCAGTACCACACCTGACCCACATTTTCCCTGAAAACATCCCTTCTCAACAGTTTATTGCGGGGTTCTCCAACTGATTTTATTTGGCCCCCCCCCAAGTTTTCTAAGCAAATTTCTGAGCAATTTTTATTGTTGGACATAAAAGATTGTAAAAACATCAGCAAATCAGCTCCAAGTTATTTTAATTTTGGAAATCTGTTCCAAATTATTGCCACACATTGTAAAGGAGATATATGTAGGGTTGAAAAGCTACCGTTCATTTACCAAAGTTACAGGAATCTTCTGTAATTTTGGTAATTACCAGAAAATATATGGTAATCTATCGTAACTTTGGTAATTTATACTTGAGTAACTTAATTGTATTTATTTATATAAAGTATTCATTTTTTATATATCTGTGCCCATGAGTTTCTGGTAGATAGAACATATGGTCTAATGAATGAAAAAGCATCTAATCAACAATGGCATTATTTTCAATTAACTCTGCAATTCTTCCAACTATTTACTTTTTTCACAAAGCCACCAGTTTGATGCCAAAACATTGACAACAATGACATAGACAATGACATTGACATAGTAAAATAAATAAAGGTGTGCTAAGGATATTTCATGTTTCATATTTCATATTTCATATTAAATACAAATGCTATTCACTAAGTTGATGGTTTATAGCTTTGTCATTCGATATATATTTTTTATCATCTTATTTAATTATTTTGTGATAACTATGTGATAAGGCCACACAGAGGGCCAGAGTACTAATCTGAAGTACCCAAAAAGGCCACTACATGTCTTGTGATAGATTACAATAAAATCCTTGAAAGATACGAAAATGTTGGTAGTTTACTAGTAAACTTGGAAAGTTTCCAGTAATAAACCCTCCCTTTGCAACCCTAGATATACTGTATGTGATCGTATACAAATGTAAGCAAGGTTTGAAATTATTTAGTCAAATATTATATTATTTGTAATCATGTTCCGGTCTCCTGAAAATCCGTTCCGGTCTCCTGACAATCCGCTCAATAAAAAAATTGGCCTGCGGCTGAATCGAGTTGATGATCCCTGGTTTATTGGGTTGAAGTCACAGGAGGTTGGTGGCCCCTTAATTGGGGAGGACGGGCTCGTGGTAATGGCTGGAGCGGAATTAGTGGAATGGTATCAAACATGGTTTCCATGTGTTTGATTTCATTCAATTCCAACAATCACCACAAATCTGCTTTGGGGCGGAGGGGAAGGAAGTAGTATGGTTATATTTGGCCTAAATTGAGCAGAAGATACAATCTGTATGCAATGAATGATCAAGCAGTCCATGGAACGAATGACCAAATGCAGATCACTTAAGTGATTGCTGCCGGACAGTTTTATCTCACTGATGACAGAGACCAGGCAGGCAGTGACACAGAAAAGACCACAGGGGCAGTCGCGGTCGAACTCACCAATCACACAGAAGGGCTTGCGGGCGAATTTCAGACGGCCCCTCCATCCTCTGTATCTGCAGCAGCATCCGGCGGCCCATATCCTCACTGTGTACTCCACGCCGAACACCACGATGGTGACTATTTCCTGTTTAGGGACAAAGGCTTCCTGTTACATTACAGCGTTGCCAGAGGCATTGATAACGTACATAATGCTGATATTATCGTAATGTTTTGCAAAGATATTATGGTTAAATTGTGAAAGTTTAGTACCCCAAACTAAGGAAATGAGAAGAAGATTATTTTTATATTATATTATGTGTATATAGTCAGAATTGAGAGAGGCAATTAGCAACTACTTTCTTACAGTATGAATAGGTTTTATTATGAACAGCTAACACATGCCGTGTCTCTCCATACTTAAAGGGTAACTCCGCCACTTTTCAACCTCATATTCATTATCTCCCAGCACCAAACCAGTGTCTACATATGTGAAAATGGCGTGTCACTGATAAGTTTCATGTAAGTGTGAACCCAAGTACCTACCAGTATATACAAGGCATCTTCGGAACTCTTCTCATACTCCTTAATGGTGGAAAACACAGAGAGGACTAGACAGGAGAAGACCAGCACAAAACTGTGGATAACAAGATAAGAGAAAACATGTCCAATTATAAATAGCCTTCCTTATCCAGCGATAATCACTATAAGTACCCCTATATACCGCAGGGAAGTCAATCACTCTGCAAGTAATTCCAATTTCACACACAGAGGTCTGCTGGGTTTTCAGTGGCTCCTTCACAAATTCAATTGATTAACCTGGAATTGCTGAGCTCCATTGACTGTATCCCTCCCAAGCCATAAAGAGACGTGAGCTTTTGCAGGCAATGCAGGTAATTCGTCTGACTGTAGCTGCTTAGGAACCCAAGAGGGTTTCAGTCCAATATACTGTATCAGAGCTGGGGAGAAGGGGAAAAGGCAATATATTGACAGATCTGTCAGATTTTTCAGTCTTTGGTTACACAGGTTTAAATGGTGCGTATTGGGCTCGAGTTTATAGTAGACATAGATGTTACTGTAGACAGAGATGTTATAGTAGACAGAGATGTTATAGTAGACAGAGATGTTAAAGTAGACAGAGATGTTATAGTAGACAGATATGTTATAATATACAGAGATGTTATAGTAGACAGAGATGTTGTAGTAGACAGAGGTGCGAAGTTCGGAGTTGGGGCGAGGGGGAGACGAAGAAATTAGAGAACAGGAAGTGAGATAAAACAGGAAAAGGCGAAGGAAATAAAGTGAGAAAAATAGTATTGAATACAGTATTGCTATTTCCAGAGTACTACACCACAGCATCGGGGTGTCTCCCTTAAGAAAAGAGGTCTTCTGACCTCAATGGGACTTCCTGGTTAAATAAAGGTTAAATAAAATAAAAAATTATACTTTAGGTGATAGTTCACAAAATCAACGTTTGTCAGACTTTTTCAAACCTCAAAATTGGTAAAATGTCAAGACGACTCCGTGCTCAGACCATCTGTTGTGTAGATCCAAGTAAATCCCAAATTAATGACAAAGATATGCAGAAACTAATGTAACGTGAAACTGTGAACAGATGGTATGGGATGTGGACTCATCTCAATATTAGAGCACTTTGCTGTTTCTCGTCTAAGAATGTCTCATGCTTTGATTTAGCAGTCAATGTCTGACAGTCTAGTGGCTTATTTAAAGTGATAGTCTAAACATAAAAGTTTATCACTTTGAATATACCACATGCTTATTAAACCAAAATGGATTCAAAACACTTGTCCTTTCCTTGACTGCATTGGCACTGCAGTCGCAATGATCGTGATATGCGGTTGTTTTATCCTCTTACAGGTATCAATCAATGCTCTGATTGTAAGTGGCCATGGAAGAGAGCGTCTGCTAAATGACTCCATTACTGTATACGTTAAAATGTTGTATCGTTTCAAGGACAACTGAGTGAGACATCTGCTGTCTATTATGACTGACAATGCTTCCCGTGGCACATCGATGTGTGATGCATAACATTTCCAACAAGGGAAAATGGATATCGGCTCATCACCATGACAGAGGCAGAGTAACAAATGGCACCCTATTCCCTTTAAAGTGCTATTACAGGAGGGGGTCGCAGTTCCGGAGCGACCCACTAGGTGTCATCCTCCGACAACCTTAGGCACCTCCTCACTCACTGTCTGGACTAATCATCATCCTATTGGTGTCACCTGTGTCTATCTGTTCCCCTGTGTATTTATGCCCTCACTTCCCTGTGTTCCCTTGCTCAGTTTTCTCTGCTAGTTTCTTGATGTCAATTTAGTACGAATCAGTGTCTGATCATGAGACGGAAGTACAGGTACTTGAGAAGTGTTCTCCCTGTTTCATTGTTGTTTTCAGTCATAGTTAGTATTTTGTATTTTTGCTGTCAGCCTGTTTTTTTGGAGACCAATTTGCTCCTCCTTTATTTTTCGTGATAAGTCCGTTATTTTGTGTCCTGGCTTTGGGACCACCAGTAAATATCCTTGTTTCACCATCTTTGCCTACTGTCTATCATGCACCGCACCTGGGTCACACCTCACACCAACCCTTACAAAGTGCATTGCTCACCCTATGGGCCTTGGTCAAAGGTAGTGCACTATGTAGGGCATAGGGTGCCATTTGGGACGTAGTCAGACAGTACAACCAGTGCTCTAGTACAGAGTCGCTGCAGACTCCCTACGGTTCCCTCGACTACGTGGAAACAGTTGTCTGGTATGTAGATGAAAGATCCCACGTCAGTGTGCTTACAGCCATTTGAAGATATAAACTGATGAATCATTGGATGAACAGTGCCGTATCAAAAAACAAAAAGTTTGTAATACTACTTAAAACCTAGGCTATAGTCCTTTCAACCTTTTATAAGCATGTATGAACCTTTACAATGGCTTGTAATAGCTATTATTATATGTTATGTTTCTATATACCAACCTTTTAACTGACTCAAAATGGCTGGTTTTTAGTCAGGATAAGCGACATTGCTTTTGGCGAATAAACCTGGGTCAATTATAAACAGATCATTTTCTAATTTTCTCTTGTCCAGCAAGACCATTTCATGACCCCTGAAAAAGATTGACTGTGGCTGCTTTCCGATTCTCTACCCTTCTCCAGAAGTGTACACTTGTTCACTCCCCTTCATGCATTTAAAAAGCATTAGATTGGTGCAAGCATGGCTGAAGGGAGTTTCCACCATATTCCTCACACCAGTCCATCCTTTTTTAAATCCATGAGGGAGAGTGTACGAGTGCACACTTCAGGACAAGGTCCAGAATAGCAATACAGCCTGAAGCACCATCCAGGATGGAAACCAAACCATGCTCCGTTTCATGTCTGGGCCTGCTCCTCTGTAGAAGATGATCAGCAGGGTTGACGGCTTCCTTTTCCTTTTGTATCACTTATCTCCCTCTTAAGGTATTAGTCAGGGTTGTAGAGAATGGCCTCTCTCTCTCTCAGATATCACCAGGCTCTGGTCATTGATAAACCCATTCCTGGGGCCGTTTCTGCAATAGAAGGCTGCTCTTCTTCCTCAGTGTCAGTGGGGCGGGGCTACAGTAAGCCATCTCGCCATCTCGCCTCGGGCTCAGACAGATGCTGCCATCCAGGCTGGAAGAAATACAGCCCACTCAGCAGCAGCAGTAGCAGCACAGAGAGTACAGAGAGCCAGAGGACAAGTCTGGCCTGTCTCAGACCTGCACTACAACATCTCTGCCAAACCCGAGGAGGATGTGGCGGGGGGGGGGGGGGCAAGAGAAGGGGGAGAGATCGCGAGAGAGAGAGAGAGAGAGAGAGAGAGAGAGATAGGTGAGGGGAGAAAGAGAGAGAGAAGGAGAAAATGAAAGCGATAAAGAGAGAGGGAATACAAAGAGAAAATGACTGTACTCCACCCAAGCCCCCACAGTGCTCCAGTTTCAGTCCTCCAGCTAGCAGCACGGGGGCGGCGGACCAAAACCAATATTTCAACTCAACGCACAAATAAAACAACAGACAGCAGAAAACCCATCACACCCTCAGCGTGTAGCCCTACAATAATGTCTCACGTTGATGTGTGTGTGTGTGTGTGTGTGTGTGTGTGTGTGCACAAGTGTGTATGTGTGTGTCTGTCTGTGCACAAATATGTGTGTATAGGCATGTTTGTTTTTCATTTCTCCCTGTGACACTGTCTGGAGTTCAGCAGGTGATCAGGTGAAGCAGCAATCTAGTGCAGCTACTACATTATTTTAATGTGATCTCAACTCCAGGTCATTTAGTTGCGCTGAAGCACAGTGATAACATTAAGCTACATTCCCCTCAGCATATCCTGTACATCCCGCCATGCAAATGAGTTCACGGAAAAGCGCTCTCCAGCAGGGAATATGAGGTTGAAGGTCAGCGCTCCCATCTGAGCACAGTGAATTAGCTGAAGCCTCCGATTGGATTTGAGGAGTCCGAGCTAATTGGTGCCACCGCCACCAACGTTTCTGTCCAAAGTGTTTTTTGTATATGCCGAACACGGCCCAGTTTAAAATGGAGGCCCGCTTTGAACTCAGAGAGTGTTGCTCGCTGGAATGATCGATCGGTCAGGTTTCGGCCTGTGAGATTGGTGTAGTGTTAGCCTGAAGGTGCAAATGGAGAATGTGGTAGTGAACCGTGTAATCTGATGGTCAATGACGAACATGGGGAGGATTCATGAAGCATGACAATTAAAAACCATTCTGTACTTTGAATCGAAGGCTACTTGTACGATAGGGTTGTTTTGGAACGTGTCGTAGTATCAAGATGGATTTGGTATACGGCACGGGAGGCTGGTGAGGGGAGGACAGCTCATAACAATGTCTGGAATGGTGTGAATGGAATTATATCAAACACATGGAAACCAGGTGTTTGATGGGTTTGATACCACTCCATTCATTCTGTTCCAGCCATTAATGTGAACCAGCCTGTCCTCCCCAATTATGGCGCCACCAGCCACCTGTGCTATACAGTATGTAAGTTGTGACATGGGTTGATGCTGTCTGGCAGTCCCTAAACTATGACCTTGTTGAGGTGCTGTGTATTTCAGGTGTGTGTGTGTGTGTGTGTGTGTGTGTGTGAGAGTGTGTGTGTGAGTGTGTGTGTGTGTGTGTGTGTGTGTGTGTGTGTGTGTGTGTGTGTGTGTGTGTGTGTGTGTGTGTGTGTGTGTGTGTGTGTGTGTGTGTGTGTGTGTGTGTGTGTGGTGTGGCGAGTGTGCTCTCTCCTTAACACGGCCACCTCTGATGACAGAGAGGCATCTATTACAGCTCATGACAAGACTGTGGTCAATATTCAGCCCTTCAACAGATGACTTGACCCTCAGATCATATTATGTTCATATCAACAACAAATATAGACTTCCAGGCATCTGCCTGTAAAGGGAAAACAGTATGGCCAAGTCCCAAATGGCACCCTATTCCCTATATAGTGCACTACTCACCCTATATAGTGCACCACTTTTGACCAGGGCCCATATGCCCATATGACTAAGACAATGGAGGTTAAAACAAAACAGCAAGAGTTCAGAAAATATCTCCATGAAAACGGAACACGCTGTTAGAAACAGCTGTTTCACGAAACCCAAATGGTTATGCAAAAAATAACAGCCATGAAATTAATAATTTACTTAAATCAAATAATAGGGGGGAAAAGTTTGAATAATATCTGAGCGGCAGGTAGCTTAGTGGTTAAGAGCATTGTGCCAGTAACCGAAAGGTCGCTGGTTCTAATCCCCGAGCCGACTAGGTGAAAAATCTGTCGATGTGCCCTTGAGCAAGGCACTTAACACTATTTGCTCTGGATAAGAGCGTCTGCTAAATGACCTATTATTTAAATCCCTGGTGTATCCGTTTCATTTCCTAAGCATATAGCCTTCTTTAAATGGGCAATCTGCCGTTCAAACAACAAAGCGGTAACCCTGCCGCTGTTTTGGTAAACAGCTGAGGGAGGGGGCTGGAGAAATCTAACCACTCAAATTCATACAGCGCTTTGGATGCAAGGACTGACCATCCATGAGATCAAATGTATTGTTTTAACAATGCTTTTTTTCCTTAATTCCTCTCTGTGATAAACATGCCCATATTCAAAACTCTTGCAAATACTAATTATTTCCTAATTATAATAGTCCTTAAGCTTTCACACCCCCCTTCATCTGGAAGCAGTGGGATTTCAAATCAAATCAAATCAAATTGTATTGGCCACATGTGCCGAATACAACAGGTGCAGACATTACAGTGAAATGCTTACTTACAGCCCTTAACCAACAGTGCATTTTTTTAAAATAAAAAAGTAGAATAAAACAACAAAAAAGTGTTGAGAAAAAAAGAGCAGAAGTAAAATAAAACAACAGTAGGGAGGCTATATATACAGGGGGGTACCGGTGCAGAGTCAATGTGCGGGGGCACCGGCTAGTTGAGGTAGTTGAAGTAATATGTACATGTGGGTAGAGTAAAAGTGACTATGCATAAATAATTAACAGAGTAGCAGCAGCGTAAAAATATGGGGTGGGGGGCAGTGCAAATAGTCTGGGTAGCCATGATTAGCTGTTCAGGAGTCTTTGATGGATGGATGGCTTAAAGATGTGGCTCGTTCTGAAGGTAAGGGAAGCAGGCTGTTTGATATTCTGAGCATGCTGCAGTAATCTTGGGCACGTATCCACAAATACCTCAGATGTAGCTGGCCATGGAGTGCGTTAGCTGTTGGGTCGATGCTGACGTGTGTGTGTGTGCCGTGCACGGTGACATTTCTGGAGGTTTTCTGGTTTTGACGGAGCCGTCTCTAACCTTTGAACTAACCTTTGATGTAATGTACAGGAGGCAGGCTGACACCTGTCAGCTGCTGCAGCAAAATGCAACATTGGGTCTGTTTGTCTCCACGTACTGTGTGTTAGCACATTGCAACGTAGACACAGACACAATTATGCAAACCCAAGCAGACACTGGTAGAAATACTCAGATGTACACACACACTTAAAAATTGTGCTTGTCAAGCACTTTCAGACAAAGGCTGTCACCTCCGTATTAACTGTCAACTCCGTAATGGCGTCTGTTTTGACCCACTCGTCAAACACTTGAGCACACCTCTCTCCTTCCAAGTGACTAACTGGTCACGTCTAATGCAGTGGATTTCAACCGGTGTGCCTTGAGGAACTCTAAGGTGTGCCACAAAACTTTTCCTAATCTTGATAATTTTTTGGAACACTCGCTTATAAATGGGACCTGTGGAATGAACGTGGGATTCTGACTTGGGAACATCAGTGCCACCAGAAAGAATAGCAATCAGATAATACATTGAATGGCACACATGGTTACATCTGGACCGTTGTTTCAAGTCCGGTGCGCTGGAGCTGTTGTTACATTTCTATCATTTGAGGGGCGCGCATCACAAGCAAAGTAATGTGTATAATTTGAGGGGCGCGCATCACAAGCAAAGTAATGTGTATAATTTGAGGGGCGCGCATCACAAGCAAAGTAATGTGTATAATTTGAGGGGCGCGTATCACAAGCAAAGTAATGTGTATAATTTGAGGGGCGCGCATCACAAGCAAAGTAATGTGTATAATTTGAGGGGCGCGCATCACAAGCAAAGTAATGTGTATAATTTGAGGGGCGCGTATCACAAGCAAAGTAATGTGTATAATTTGAGGGGCGCGCATCACAAGCAAAGTAATGTGTATAATTTTACTTTGCCTGTGAGAACCATTATCACAGGCAAGTCTGATGAGGTTCAGCAGTACCACAGCATCTCCCATAGAAACAAACGGGAAATGGCTTTGTGTCTGTGGTTGGACCTTTACAATGCAGAAAACGGTCTCTAGATCTTTCCATTCAAAAGTAGGGGAGAGTGGGGTAGGTTGAGCCAAAGGGGTAAGTTTAGCCACTCTTGTTTCTAGGAAACCATACACAAATTAATAATTTGACCAAATATTTAGGAAGAGATTATAATTTAATGGAGTGTGAAGGAAGAAACTACATGGAAGAAATGGTAAGCAAGTTAGGTCAAATTAATTTATTGTGTTAGAAGTTTCATGATGCTTGTATCTAAACCTAAGTAGCTAATTGTAAGATTGTTCTATACATCAGTTGGGGTCTCTATAAGCTTCAATATAAGCCTAAACCTAGCATGAAAGTGCATCATTGTCGCTGTGTGGGCTAATATAATCAAAATGTTTGCCTTGGGGCAAGTTGAGCCACTGGCCATGGGGTAAGTCTTTAAATGTTTTTATTATCTGTTTATTTGGATCCAAATTAGCTTTTGTAGAAGCTGCAGCTACTCTTCCTGGGGTACACAAAAAACACAAAACATGACAAGTCACTACAGACCCGGGTTCGATCGCGACCGGGAGACCCATGAGTGCGGTGCACAATTGTCCGGGTTACGGGAGGGTTTGGCCGGCCGGGATGTCCTTGTCCCATCGCATTCTAGCGACTCCTTGTGGCGGGCCAGGCGCAAGCACGCTAACTTTGGTCGCCAGTTATACAGTGTTTCCTCCAACACATTGGTGCGACTGGCTTCCGGGTTAAGCGATCAGTGTGTCAAGAAGCAGTGCGTTGCTGTGAATTCGTTTTGGACTTGGGGAATGTGAAGAGACCCCTGGTGGCATGTCTTGTGGGGTATGTATGGGTGTCTGAGCTGAATGTTATTTGATTATGCAGACAATCTGGAATTTTCGTCAAAGTAATATTTCTCATAAAAACTAGAAGAGAAGCAGTTAATCTCTCGTCAACCCTTAACCAGGAAAGACTGGCATGCATGTTGTTGATGTTAGTTCTGTATGTGCAGTTAAGGGCAAGGCGTGCTGCTCTGTTTTGAGCCAGCTGCAGCTTTGCTAGGTCTTTCTTTGCTGCACTTGACCATATTACCAGACAGTAATCAAGATGGTACCAGACCAGAGCCTGAACAACTAGTACAGTTGGTTGTTGTGTCAAAAACATAGAAATGTTATACCTTGGGAGTTTAGCTTCCTCAACTTGCTCAGTGGTCACACCCTTTATGTAGAACTCCAGTTGAGGTGTAGGTCCTAGAGAATGTTTTGAGCCAAATACAATGCTTTTAGTTTTAGATGTATTTAAGGCCAGTTTATTATAAAGCACCCATTCTGAGACTGACTGTAACTCCTTATTTAGAATTTGAGTGAGCTCACTGGCTTTGGGTGCTGACATGTATAGTGTGGAATAATCTGCATACACAGTCATTCTAGATTTGTGTAAGACCAGTGGCAAATCATTTGTAAAAACGGCCCAAGGCAACTGCCCTGAGGGACACCGCACTGTACATATCTGATGTTAGAGAAGCTTCCATTGAAGAACACTCTCTGGGTTCTATTGGATAAATAACTCTCCAACCATGTGATGGCAGGTGATGTAAAGCCATAGCAAGTGACTTTTTTTTCAATAACAATTTATGATCAATAACATCAAAGGCTGCACTGAAATCTAACAATACCCCTCCAACTATCATTTTATTATTCATTTATCTTAACCAATCATCAGTCATCTGAGTCAGTGCAGTACAAGTTGAGTGCCCTTATCTATATGCATGCTGAAAGTCAGTAGTTAACTTGTTCTCTGAAAAATAGCATTGTATTTGGACAAACACAATCCTGTCCATCAGTTTACTAAGAACAGGCAGCAAACGGATTGGGCGGCAGTTAGAGCCAGCAAAGGGTGCTTAATAGGATGGTTCTTTGTTCAATGTCATTTCACTTCTACGTTTTCCCACTTTACTAGTGATTGTAATGATTGGCAATATCGAAATGTAGTGTTATAATGACCCATCAACTTCAATGAACGACGGAGATGAATTGGGTTTTCTGCCCATGATATCATTTAAGCTGCTTTTTCCATTGCGTTACTTATCTTTGTTTGGTAATATATTTTATTTTTATTTTTGTTAAGTTTAGTCACAACATTTCTTTATGTCAACCAATCAGCTGAGCAGCCTGACTTGTTTGCCAATTGTTTTGCATCATTTCTTTGATTCAAAATTCAAAAGGCACTCGCACATCTGAGCTATCTTTGTTGCAGGTGTATTGTAACAGTTGAAATAAGATGAGAAAGAAGAAGAATCCTGCACACTCAAAAAGCTCTGACGAAGGCCTTGAGGCCGATACATAAAGCTTAATAAAGAGCAGTGATAGTAGCAAGAGCAGTGTGCAGGTTTCTTCTTTTTTCACATCATTTCTTTGAACCAAACCATTTTTCAATTCATCAAATTCATCATCAATCCAGTGGGCTCTAACGGTTCCCACAGTTAGTTCCTTAACAGGTGCATGCTGGTCAAAAGTTGGCATGAATAATTGTACAAATACTTCCAGTGCTGCATCTGGATTCACTTTCCTCATACACATCAGACCAACATAAATTTTTTACATCTTCAAGAAAACAATCCTGAGAATGTTTTTGTGTGATCTCTTATAAATTACTTTAGGCCCAACCTTTGGCACTTTGGCTTTCCTTGTTATTGCCACAATGTTATGGTCACTACAGCCAATGGGAACTGATATTGCTTTGGAGCAAAGCTCTACAGCATTAGTGAAGATATGATCAATACAAGTGGATGTCACAGATCCAACACTATTGGTATGCACTCTAGTTGGTTGTCATAACCTGGGTCATATTACAGGCATTAGTCACAGTTAGAAGCTTCCTCTTGAGAGGACAGCTAGTTGCTAACCAGACAATGTTCAGGTCACCCAGAAAATAGACCTCTCTGTTAATATCACACACATTATCAAGCATTGTACACATATTATTCAAATACTGACTGTTAGCCATTGGTGGACTACAGCAGCACCCCAAATGAAGAGGCTTTAGATGAACTTTCAACCGCAACACTTCAACAACATTCAATGTGAGATCCTCTCTGTGCTTTACAGGAATATGGCTCTGAACATATACAGCAACAACACCTACCCCATAGGCATTCCTGTCTCTTCTGTAGATGTTATATCCCTGTATTGCTACTGCAGTATCATCAAAGGAATTATCTAAGTGAGTGTCACGGATTCTGCCGAGGCTGCTCCTCCTCCTTGCTCGGGCAGGCTTCGGCGTTCGTCGTCCCCGGAGTACTAGCTACTGCCGATCGATGTTTTCGGTGTTTGTCTTGTTTTGTCTAGATTAGTACACCTGTTGCCTATTAGTTTTGATTGTTTGGCCTATAATTTCCCTTGTTTCACGTTTGGGTTTTGTGTGTTATTGTTGTATGTCTAGTTGATGTTCGGCCTAGCTACTTCTCCAGATTACGCATATGGTGTTTTTCCCTCCAGTGTTGGAGACGTTTGTTTTGTGCGTAACGTTCAGTAAAGTAGTCAACCTGATTCTCTGTGTCCTGCGTCTGACTTCACTCGCCGCGTACACATCACCTCCTGACAGAATAACACACCACCATGGAGTCAGCAGGACCAGCGGTACCAACGGAGTCATTGGAGGAGCGCGTCAGCAGCCAAGACGCCATGATTCGAAGACTGGGCACCGCCATGCAGGATGTAATGGACACTTTGAGCCGATGGGAAAGAGGAGGTTTGCCCACACCTCCTCCTACAATACCACCACCATCGGCCAGACCCATCGTTCCATCTCCGGAGTCCAGTGGGATTCGGCTCTCGCTCCCGAGGGCTTATGATGGCACCGCAGCCGGGTGTCAGGGTTTCCTGCTTCAAGTAGAACTCTACCTGGCAACCATTCACCCGGCGCCCTCGGGATACGAGAGCGTTTCCGCCCTCATCTCCTGTCTGTCCGGCAAGGCATTGGAGTGGGCCAATGCCGAATGGAGGGGAATAGACGCCGCCACCGTCAGTTATGCGGAGTTCTCCCGCCGCTTCAGGGCGGTTTTCGATCATCCATGCCCTAGACAGCCGTCCTTTGGGGTCAGGATTGATTAGGGAGGTCACGGCGCCACTTAAGATGAAGACGCAGGGGGGTCATGAGGAAATTATACAGTTGTATCTGATCGACTCTCCTGCGTTTCCCGTGGTGTTGGTGCTTCCTTGGTTAATATCTCATGACCCCAACATTTCGTGGCAACAGAGGGCTCTCAGGGAGTGTTCTGATCAGTGTGTCGGGCGGTGTATAGGTGTTTCCGTAGGGGCGACAACGGTGGAAAGTCCGAACCAAGTGCCCGCACTGCACATTCCTCCTGAGTATAATGATTTGGCACTCGTCTTCAGTAAGAAGAGGGCGACTCAATTACCACCTCATAGACAGGGGGATTGTGCGATAGACCTCCAGGCAGGCGCTGCACTTCCGCGTAGTCATGTGTATCCTCTGTCTCAAGAGGAGACGGAGGCTATGGAGACATACATCACCGAATCTCTGGGACAGGGATACATACGGCCCTCCACTTCTCCTGCGTCCTCAAGGTTCTTTTTTGTGAAGAAGAAGGATGGAGGTTTGCGCCCGTGTATTGATTACCGTAGTCTCAATCAGATTACTATTAAATACAGTTATCCTCTCCCTCTGATTGCGAGTATGACGGAGTCATTACACGGAGCGCGATTCTTCACAAAATTGGATCTCAGGAGCGCTTACAACCTGGTGCGCATTAGGGAAGGAGATGAATGGAAAACAGCATTTAGTACCACCTCGGGTCACTATGAGTATCTCGTCATGCCATACGGGTTAATGAATGCTCCTTCAGTCTTCCAATCATTTGTGGACGAGATTTTCCGGGATTTGCATGGGCAGGGTGTAGTGGTGTATATTGACGACATTCTAATATACTCTGCTACACGAGCCGAGCATGTGCCCTGGTGCGTCGGGTGTTGGGTAGGCTGTTGGAGCATGACTTGTATGTGAAGGCGGAGAAATGCCTGTTTTTCCAGGAGTCCATCTCCTTCCTGGGACATCGGTTGTCCGTGTCAGGGGTGGAGATGGAGATTGACCGCGTTTCAGCCGTGCAATAATTGGCAGACTCCCACCACGATTAAGGAGGTGCAGCGGTTTTTGGGTTTTGCCAATTACTACCGGAGGTTTATCTGGGGTTTTGGACAGGTAGCAGCTCCCATCACCTCCCTGCTAAAGGGGGGCCCGGTGCGTTTGCAGTGGTCGGCTGAGGCGGACAGGGCGTTTTAGACATCTGAAGGACCTGTTCACCTCGGTTCCGGTGCTGGCACATCCGGACCCCTCTTTGGCGTTCCAAGTGGAGGTGGACGCGTAAGAGGCGGGTATAGTGGCTGTACTGTCTCAACGCTCGGGCACGCCTCCTAAACTCCGTCCCTGTGCCTTTCACTCTAAGAAGCTCAGCCTGGCGGAACGTAATTGTGACGTGGGGGATAGGGAGCTGCTAGCTGTGGTTCAAGCCCTAAAGGTGTGGAGGCATTGGCTTGAGGGGGCTCAACACCCTTTTCTCATTCTGACTGACCATCGTAACCTGGAGTACATCCGGGCAGCTAGGAGACTGAACCCTCGTCAGGCTAGGTGGGCCATGTTTCTGGCCCGGTTTGTCTTTAAGCTCACGTATATACCAGGGTCACAGAACGTTAAGGCAGACGCCCTGTCCCGGCGATATGACACAGAGGAGAGGTCCATTGAGCCCACTCCCATACTTCCGGAGTCTTGTCTGGTGGCACCGGTGGTGTGGGAGGTCGATGCGGAGATCGAGCGGGCGTTACGTACCGACCCTACTCCTCCAGAGTGTCCGGGGGGGCGGAGGTACGTGCCACTCGAGATCCGTGATCGACTGATTTATTGGGCTCACACGTCACCCTCCTCTGGTCATCCTGGTATTGGCCGGACAGTGCACTGCCTTAGTGAGAAGTACTGGTGGCCAACATTGGCAAAGGACGTGAGGGTTTATGTCTCCTCCTGCTCGGTGTGCGCTCAGTGTAAGGCACCTAGACACCTGCCCAGGGGGAAATTACAACCCCTACCAGTTCCACAACGGCCGTGGTCTCACCTATCGGTGGACTTTGTCACGGACATTCCCCCCTCCCAGGGGAATACCACAATTTTGGTCGTTGTGGATCGGTTTTCTAAGGCCTGCCGTCTCATTCCAATGCCGGGTCTCCCTACTGCCCTACAAACTGCTGAGGCCCTGTTTACACACGTCTTCCGGCACTACGGGGTACCTGAGGATATAGTGTCTGATCGGGGTCCCCAGTTAACCTCTAGAGTCTGGAGGGCGTTTATGGAACGCTTGGGGGTCTCGGTTAGCCTTACCTCGGGTTTCCACCCTGAGAGTAATGGGCAGGTGGAGAGAGTAAACCAGGATGTGGGTAGGTTTCTGAGGTCCTATTGCCAGGACCGGCAGGAGGAGTGGTCGGGGTATATCCTCTGGGCAGAGATTGCCCAGAACTCACTTCGCCACTCCTCCACTAATCTGACTCCTTTTCAGTGTGTGTTGGGGTATCAGCCGGTTCTGGCACCCTGGCATCAGAGCCAGATCGAGGCTCCTGCGGTGGATGAATGGTTTCGGTGCTCGGAGGAAACATGGAACGCTGCGCATGTCCATCTGCAGCGGGCCATCCGTAGGCATAAGGCGAGCGCCGATCGCCACCGCAGTGAGGGTCCAGTGTATGCACCTGGAGATCGAGTCTGGCTCTCGACTCGAAACCTGCCCCTTCGCCTGCCCTGCCGGAAGCTGGGTCGGCGGTTTGTGGGGCCATTTAAAGTCCTGAGGAGATTGAACGAGGTATGTTACAGGTTACAACTGCCCAATGATTATCGCATTAACCCCTTGTTCCATGTGTCTCTCCTCAGGCCGGTGGTAGCTGGTCCACTCCAGGAGAATGAGATATGAGAGGCTCCTCCGCCCCCACTAGACATCGAGGGGGCTCCGGCGTACTCAGTCCGGTCCATCGTGGATTCGAGACGTCAGATGGGGGGTCTGCAGTATCTCGTGGAGTGGGAGGGGTACGGTCCGGAGGAACGGTGCTGGGTGCCTAGGAGGGACATCTTAGATCCCTCCCTCTTGACGGAGTTCCACCGGAGTCATCCCACTCGCCCTGCTCCGCGTCCTCCTGGCCGTCCCCGAGGCCGGGGTCGGCGCACGGCTGGGGCCGCGCGTCAAGGGGGGGGGGTACTGTCACGGATTCTACTGAGGCTGCTCCTCCTCCTTGCTCGGGCAGGCTTCGGCGTTCGTCGTCCCCGGAGTACTAGCTACTGCCGATCGATGTTTTCGGTGTTTGTCTTGTTTTGTCTAGATTAGTACACCTGTTGCCTATTAGTTTTGATTGTTTAGCCTATAATTTCCCTTGTTTCACGTTTGGGTTTTGTGTGTTATTGTTGTATGTCTAGTTGATGTTCGGCCTAGCTACTTCTCCAGATTACGCATATGGTGTTTTTCCCTCCAGTGTTGGAGACGTTTGTTTTGTGCGTAACATTCAGTAAAGTAGTCAACCTGATTCTCTGTGTCCTGCGTCTGACTTCACTCTCCGCATACACATCACCTCCTGACAGTGAGTTTCAGAGATGGCCAGTATATGAATGTTATCTGATTTTAGCAAATTATTGATTTCATGAACCTTATAAATTGTGAAAATGTAAATGTTGTCTTCCCAGGCGTAATGCAAGGCATTATCACTGGGATATGAGGTAACAACAGGGCCTTGTTAAAAGGTTTTTAAAAAGTACAATAGTGTTTGTTAGTTGTTAAGCATGTATTAAAATATGATTAAAATGATTAAAAGACAAAAAAATGTGATTTTGATCGTGTTGAATTGTGTTAAGGAAATAAAGATAGTCATGGTTTTAAAAAGGTAGTGGTAATATTTCATTCAGTACAGAAATGTGTAGGGGGCTCAATTTGTCCCACGGCTCAACTTACCCCATAAGTTGTGCCAAGAGAACACTTTTTTTTGGACAAGCTATGTTCCTAAAATGAATGTTTACATGAATTCTGATTATTTCCAGGGATACACAACATCCTGAAACAAAGAATACTATACTGAAAAAAATATAAATGCTACCTGTAAAGTGTTGGTCATGAGCTGAAATAAAAGATCCCAGACATTTTCCATACGCACAAAAAGCTTATTTCTCTCCAATTTTGTGCAGAAATGTGTTTACATCCCTGTTAGTGAGCATTTCTCCTTTGCCAAGATAATCCATCCATCTGACAGGTGTGGCATATCAATAAACGGATTAAACAGCATGATCATTACACAGGTGTACCTTGTGCTGGGGGACAATAAAAGGCCACTCTAAAATGTGCCGTTTTGTCACACAACACAATGTCACAGATGTCTCAAGTTTTGAGGGTGCATGCAATTGGTATGCTGATTGCAGGAATGTACACCTGAGCTGTTGCCAGATAATTTAATGTTAATTTCTCTACCATAAGCCGCCTCCAACGTCATTTTAGAGAATTTGGCAGTACGTCCAACCGGCCTCACAACCGCAGACCACGTGTAACCATGCCAGCCCAGGACCTGCACATCCGGCTTCTTCACCTGCGGGATTGTCTGAGACCAGCCATCCGGACAGCTGATGAAACTGAGGAGTATTTATGTCTGTAATTAGGCCCTTTTGAGGGGAAAACTGATTCAGATTGGCTGGGCCGGGCTCCCCATTGGGTGGGCTTATGCCCAGTCATGTGAAATCCATAGATTAGGGCCTAAAACATTTATTTCAATTGACTGATTTCCTTATATGAACTGTAACTCAGCAAAATCTTTGAAATTGTTGCATGTTGCATTTATAATTTTGTTCAATATATATTTCCCTTGATCGAGTGATGCTCAATGTAAAAAATGGCTCTCAGCTTACCACAGTACCCCCTAAGACCTATTTCACCAGAGCTATACATTTTCTTTCTATCAGTGATTTGCCGGACACTCTTAAAGGGGTACACACAAATTAACCGTCATCAGTAAGGAACTATGAAAATAGTTGCAATATGGATCAGATGAGATGGAGGTCATTACGACTAAATACATTATAAGGAAAAGTTTAGTTGTGTCACAGAATTTTTTATCCCATTAAATTGTACCACGGTTCAAAAAAGGTTAGGAACCACTGGTCTAAAGAATGAGTTGCAAGGCCAGACGTATTCTCTGAGGAAAACAAATCACGACGATTGAGCACTATCATCACTTCTCAGGGTTGTTTTTAGTATGTTTTACACCGAGCTGAGACAACCACAAGTTTTGCCTGAATGCATAATGTAGTATTAGTTTGTAATTACACAGCCTATCTTAGCACAATCTGGCCTAGAATACAACCGCAGAAGACCTTTAAGGATCCAGCGGCATCTTGGACAAGAAAGGCCGGATAAGGGTAGAAATCGAGGCCTGTAATCATAAAGTGTCTCAGAGTAGGATTTGTTATGCCTTTTTAAATCATAATGAATAAGAGGGGGACCTGACCCTAGATCAGCACTTCAACTCTGAGACGCTTTGTGAATATAAGATGATGGCTTGACACTGGGAGAGGTAGCGTAGGTCTATTTTCAACTAATAACACATATTGGCGTACTCAATAATTGTCTGTCAATTTTAAGACTTGCCTTCAATTTGAACACTCCATGTAAATGCAATAGGGGTTACCATAACATCTAACTACCACATTCCCAACCAGTGTACCACAAAACTCACCAAGTTAGCATAGGCTCATTCCACCATTAGAGATTCTGAACTCCCTGAATGGTCTTATGAAACGAACAGTAATGGGTGAAACTACTCAGAAGCAGGGAGGAAACGACGCGGCCAACCTTTTCTCCATCACAGTCTCGCCTCGTCTAGCGTCTCACCTCGTTAGCTGTGCGTTCAACACACAACACAGGGTAGGTTCCTCAATGGCACAATTGATGGCCTATCTGTGAGGTGTGACAGGCGGCTCTGAGGAGCGGACATGACGATGTCATTCGAGCCAGGCAGCGTGTCCTGGTTCCACACAGCCATAAACCTCCACCAAATTGCACAGCCCAAGCCGCCGAAAGCACCTACATTGCCTTCGGAAAGTATTCAGACCCCTTGACTTTTTCCACATTTTGTTACGTTACTGCCTTATTCTAAAATGGATTAAAAATAAATAAATCCTCAGCAATCTACACACAATAACCCATAATGACAAAGCAAAAACAGATTTTGATAACTTTTTGCAAAAATAAAATAAAAATAAAAAATACCTTAGACTCTTTGCAATGAGATCGAAATTAAGCTCAGGTGCATCCTGTTTCCATTGATCATCCTTGAGATGTTTCTACAACTTGATTGGAGTACACCTGTGGTAAATTCAATTGAATGGACAGGATTTGGAAAGGCACACACCTGTCTATATAAGGTCCCACAGTTGACAGTGGATGTCAGAGCAAAAACCAAGCCATGAGTTCGAAGGAATTGTCCGTAGAGCTCAGAGACAGGATTGTGTCGAGGCACAGATCTGGGGAAGGGTACCAAAAAATGTCTGCAGCATTGAAGGTCCCCAAGAACACAGTAGCCTCCATTATTCTTAAATGGAAGAAGTTTGGAACCACCAAGACTCTTCCTAGAGCTGGCTGCCCGGCCAAACTGAGCAATCGGGGGTGAAGGGCCTTTTGACAGGGAGGTAACCAAGAACCCAATGGTCACTCTGATAGAGCTCTAGAGTTCCTCTGTGGAGATGGGAGAACCTTCCAGAAGGACAACTATATCTGCATCACTCCACGAATCAGGCCTTTATGGTAGAGTGGCCAGACGGAAGCCACTCCTCAGTAAAAGGCACATGACAGCCTGCTTGGAGTTTGCCAAAAGGCACCTAAAGACAAAGACCATGTGAAACAAGATTCTCTGGTCTGATGAAACCAAGATTGAACTCTTTGGTCTGAATGCCAATCGTCACGTCTGGAGGAAACCTGGCACCACCCCTACAGTGAAGCATGGTGGTGGCAGCATCATATGCTGTGGGGATGTTTTTCAGTGGCAGGGACTGGGAGACTAGTCAGGATCAAGGCAAAGATGAACGGAGCAAAGTACAGAGATCCTTGATTAAAACCTGCTCCAGAGTGCTCAGGACCTCAGACTGGGGGGGCGAAGGTTCACCTTCCAACAGGACAACGACCCTAAGCACACAGCTATACAACGCAGGAGTGGCTTCGGGACAAGTCTCTGAATGTCCTTGAGTGGCCCAGCCAGAGCCCAGACTTGAACCCGATCGAACATCTTTGGAGAGACCTGAAAATAGCTGTGCAGCAACGCTCCCCATCCAACCTGACAGAGTTTGAGAGGATCTGCAGAGAAGAATGGGAGAAACTCCCCAAATACAGCTGTGCCAAGCTTGTAGTGTCACCCCCAAGAAGACTTTAGGCTGTAATCGCTGCCAAAGGTGCTTCAACAAAGTACTGAGTAAAGGGTCTGAACACTTGTGTAAATGTAATATTTCCATTATTTTAAAAAATATATAAATTAGCAAAAAACTGTTTTTGTTTCATCATTATGGGGTATTGTGTGTAGATTGATGAGGGAAAAAAACAATGTAATCAATTTTAGAATAAGGCTGTAACCTAACAAAATGTGGAAAAAGTGAAGGGGTCTGAATACTTTCCAAAGGCACTGTATGCAGTGCCAGGCACACAGACACATGTATGTCAGTACAGGTGCACACCCATAGATGTACAGCTTCATACATAGACGGACTCTGTATAAACACAAACAACTATAGCATATAAACATACTGTAAAAGAACCAGTAGGACTTACTTAAAGCCTTTCAGCTATAATCCTTTATAACTTGTTATAAGCCTGTATGAGCCATTATAATGTCTTATAATAAGGCTTGTAATATGTTGTTTCTCTCTATGTAGGACATTTTCAACTGACTCAAAATGGCCGATATATAGTCAGGATCATTATCAGATGAATATAAGACATTATAAAAGGGTCATTCATGTTAATGACAAGTCTGAAATACATTAAACCGGTTGGCTTTCAGTAAAGTGTTACCACACTACAAACCTCGTCCACAGGCTATTGGGCAAAGCATTGGGCAGAAGTGTCTGGGAACTAGATTACCACACTACCATTTGTAACATAATGCATCTCCCTTGCAGTGGTGTAATGTACATAAGTAAAAATACTTTAAAGTACTACCTAAGTACTTTCTTTTGGGTATGTGTACTTTACTATTTATATTTTGACTACTTCTACTTCTACTTCACTACATTCCTAAAGAAAATAATGTACTTTTTACTAAATGTTCCCTGACACCCAAAAGTACTCGTTACATTTTGAAGGCTTAGCAGGACAGAAAAATGGTCCAATTCATGCACTTATCAAGAGAACATCCCTGGTCATCCCTACTGCCTCTGATCTGGCAGACTCACTAAACACACATGCTTTGTTTGTAAATTATGTCTGAGTGTTGGAGTGTGCCCCTTGGCTAAATGTAAATGATGTCTGAGTGTTGGAGCGTGGCCCCTGGCTAAATGTAAAGGATGTCTGAGTATTGGAGCGTGCCCCTGGCTATCTGTAAACTATGTCTGAGTGTTGGAGCGTGGCCCCTGGCTAAATGTAAATGATGTCTGAGTGTTGTAGCGTGGCCCCTGGCTATCTGTAAATGATGTCTGAGTGTTGGAGCGTGGCCCCTGGCTAAATGTAAATTATGTCTGAGTATTGGAGCGTGCCACTGGCTATCTGTAAACTATGTCTGAGTGTTGGAGCGTGCCCCCTGGCTAAATGTAAATGATATCTGAGTGTTGGAGCGTGGCCCCTGGCTAAATGTAAACTATGTCTGAGTGTTGGAGCGTGGCCCCTGGCTATCTGTAAACTATGTCTGAGTGTTGGAGCGTGCCCCCTGGCTAAATGTAAAGTATGTCTGAGTGTTGGAGCGTGGCCCCTGGCTAAATGTAAAGGATGTCTGAGTATTGGAGCGTGGCCCCTGGCTAAATGTAAAGGATGTCTGAGTGTTGGAGCGTGCCCCTGGCTAAATGTAAATTATGTCTGAGTGTTGGAGCGTGGCCCCTGGCTAAATGTAAATTATGTCTGAGTGTTGGAGCGTGCCCCTGGCTATCTGTAAACTATGTCTGAGTGTTGGAGCGTGCCCCAGGCTAAATTTTAATTATGTCTGAGCGTTGGAGCGTGGCCCCTGGCTAAATGTAAATTATGTCTGAGTGTTGGAGCGTGGCCCCTGGCTAAATGTAAATTATGTCTGAGTGTTGGAGAGTGCCCCTGGCTATCTGTAAACTATGTCTGAGTGTTGGAGCGTGGCCCCTGGCTATCTGTAAACTATGTCTGAGTGTTGGAGCGTGCCCCCTGGCTAAATGTAAAGTATGTCTGAGTGTTGGAGCGTGGCCCCTGGCTATCTGTAAACTATGTCTGAGTGTTGGAGCGTGCCCCCTGGCTAAATGTAAATTATGTCTGAGTGTTGGAGCGTGGCCCCTGGCTAAATGTAAATTATGTCTGAGTGTTGGAGCGTGGCCCCTGGCTATCTGTAAACTATGTCTGAGTGTTGGAGCGTGCCCCCTGGCTAAATGTAAATTATGTCTGAGTGTTGGAGCGTGGCCCCTGGCTAAATGTAAATTATGTCTGAGTGTTGGAGCGTGGCCCCTGGCTATCTGTAAAGTATGTCTGAGTGTTGGAGCGTGGCCCCTGGCTAAATGTAAAGGATGTCTGATGTTGGAGCGTGCCCCTGGCTAAATGTAAAGGATGTCTGAGTGTTGGAGCGTGCCCCTGGCTAAATATAAAGGATGTCTGAGTGTTGGAGCGTGCCCCTGGCTATCTGTAAAGTATGTCTGAGTGTTGGAGCGTGGCCCCTGGCTAAATATAAAGGATGTCTGAGTGTTGGAGCGTGCCCCTGGCTATCTGTAAACTATGTCTGAGTGTTGGAGTGTGCCCCTGGCTAAATGTAAAGGATGTCTGAGTGTTGGAGCGTGCCCCTGGCTAAATGTAAAGGATGTCTGAATGTTGGAGCGTGCCCCTGGTACATTAAAGGAAATAAAATAAAATGGTGCTGTCTGGTTTGCTTAATATAAGGAATTTTGATACTTAAGTATATTTTAGCAACTACATTTACTTTTGATACTTAAGTATATTTAAAACCAAATACTTTTAGACTTTTACTCTAGTAGTATTTTACTGGGTGACTTTCACTTTTACTTGAGTAATTTTCTATTAAGGTATCTTGACTTTTACTCAAGTATGACAATTGGGTACTTTTTCCACCACTGCTCCCTTGTTAGCAGTGAGAGTGCCTGGAGGTTGCGTTCATCAGGCACACCAGGCCAGGTGGATGACTGGGTCTGATAGCACCTTAGCCAATGGGAGTCACTGTTTTTCAGCCTCATTAGGCAGGCACTTGGCCCACAGTCTTTAGCCAGATGGATGATGTTGTCATCCTCTCTACACGCCACTAAAGTTGCGATTAAGTCTTCTCAATGCTACCTCCAGGTTCCAAAGATTTGTTTTTGTTTTCGACATGAGTGTCTGGGCACAGATCTTTATATCACTCAAAGCTTTTATTGTGTATACCATTCTCCCTCTCAATACAATCTGATGTATGCTTGACACAATAGTCTGGCATACTGAGACTGCAGTGAAACCTTCCATTCCCTTGACCATCTTCCAACATGCTGCCAGACAATCCTCTCTCTTCTTCCTCTCTCTTTATCACTGCAACGCCACTATTGTCACGTTGAAGGAGGAATCCATTTGTCCCGTTGTTATCACCCAGGTGGGTGTTAGTGTACCAGGCAGTCAGATGTAATAGTCACACTGGCAGGCAGTGCCTGGGTTTTATAAGGCCTACTCAGGTGAGGTCACTATCTTCCTCCCTAAATAACTCTGGTTAATCAGTAGAGTGCGGCCTAGCACAGCCTAGAACAGCCTAGCACAGCCTAGAACAGCCTAGCACAGCCTAGAACAGCCTAATACAGCCTAGCACAGCCTATAACAGCCTAGCACAGCCTAGTACAGCCTATCACAGCCTAGTACAGCCTAGCACAGCCTAGCCCAGCATAGTACAGCCTAGAACAGCCTAGCACGGCCTAGAACAGCCTAGCACAGCCTAGCCTAGAACAGCCTAGCACAGCCTAGAACAGCCTAGCACAGCCTAGAACAGCCTAGAACAGCCTAGAACAGCCTAGCCCAGCCTAGAACAGCCTAGCCCAGCCCAGGACAGACTTCCAGGCCCCTTGGGACCATAGGGATTTCCCGGCCAGCACTGTAAACTAAACCACACCTCGACATTGGGTTGGTCACAGCAAGCACCCAATATGCACGCACCCACCCACACACAGTGCATAGGTGTTTGTTTGGGCAATGCAAAGGGGTAGGTCAGAGAAACAGGCGTATGGTCTGTGTAGCACATGAGTGCAAGTTGCAACACAGAGTTCAAAGAAACAAAAAAACAGCTACGTTTCGACAATTGTACATTCACAGTTATAAATGTTATTGGAATAAATAGCAGTTTAATGCTAGATAAAGGCCTGTTGTTTGAAGTGTCTCGTCATGAGCTTGTCTGTTTAATAAACACTTCCATAATGACCATTTCACCCCTAGGCAGGTCAGCCCGGGTTCAAAATCTCGCCACTGGGCGAAAATGCTAATGTATCTGAACCCACTAGCCTGTTCGCCACAGGGTGCCTGTTCGCCAACTCCGCCAGCGTGAAAACGCTCATAACAGTGACAAGACTTTTCATTTATCTCTAATCAATGGTTTATGCATACTCTGAATGATTCTGATGTGTTGGAAGTACAGTCCATTCATTTACTAGGCCCAAGATAGCAGTCCATTTGCAGAAAATAATATGTTGATAAGCCTATTACTGTGTTTGTCTATGAGGAGGAGAAAGAGATAAAGTGCACATTTTTCTTGATGAAAGTTTACTGTGTTCCTCTATGTGAAGAAGAAAGCTAGAGAGAAACTGCATTATTGGATACAAGTACTTGATACTAGCATACCGTGTTGGTCTATGTGAAAGAGAGATAGAAACTGCCTGTGGATGTGAATCTCATGTTTCTGACTGAGCCCACAACGATATTTATAGAGAAAACATGACATACTGTAAGTGATGGGGAGAAGGAGAGACAGAGTGTATAAATTATATATTAGACGAACGAACATGAATACAATCTAGGTCTGAGAGGATTCGCTGCTCTGCCATCCTTCAATGCTCAATGTTCATAAATCTCCTCTGGTACAAATAATATCCATACTCCATTGAAAAACAAATGAAAACAGCCAGAACGAATACAAAAATTACATCATGATGCAATCATTTGGTTCGTATGGTACCATTGGCCTAATGTAGGCTAGCTACATTGTATGTTTGCCTCTCAGAACAAATGCAGTAGTGTTCGAGATAAATGCAGCACCTATCGGAGCTGTCCAGCTGCTTTTGGTGCTGAATTGAAAAAAGCCCTGAAAGGATTGCAGCAGTACGCTCAATTAGCTCAGTCGGAATCACATTAAATCGACTGAAGTAGCCTAATAACTATGGTTAAAGGGGAAATCCTTGCGCGACTGTAAAGCGTTTTAAATTCAACATGAGACGTGTGTAAATTAAGGAATTCACACCAACACATCAGTGGCCTATGTGTTGATGTAAAAATGCATAGTACACGTTCCTAAAAGCATTATCGCATGCATCACCTAGGTAGCCTATTGATTGTCTTTTACATTGAACATCTATGTCAACAACATAAACGAATCTTCACTTGGAAAGAAGAAACTCGTGTTGATGTAGCATTCGCTGACACACTTTTGCATCATTTTTTAACAGTTGTCAACCACACTATAATTTAATGTAGGCTAACCCTAGATGATTGGCAAAACCTAAAGGAATAACAGATTTCAATATAAAACGTCGAGGTATTTCTTTGACCTGATATGAAGCAGTTCTTAGGAATGATCTATTGAAATATATACAATTTATAAAGTCTGCGGAAACCTCACGATGCCAAGTAGTCCAGAGTAGATTGTTATCGCATAATCTAATGACAATGTAGCCTATACAACATCCCATATAAAGTATGGGTATGGCGTAGGCTACATACATGGCAAATTAATAAAAGAAGTATGATGATATCAAAATGATTTCTGTGCGCGCCAAAGCTATAAATGAATGCTGACTGATGCACACCCCACCACCGTCCCTATACACTTCTGAATGAATCAGTCGTCTTGACATGTCTTCCCTGCCTATATATAAAGAAAAAACAATGAACTATGATTCAGACGCTTTCACGCCTCCCGAGACTTTGTGTTGGAGGCTTGCTTTTCACCCATTTAAACAAATAGCCTAAAACAAAAACTTACACGTATGCGTGGTATATAAATGCCCATCCTCTTGGTCTCTCCAAAACATTATAAAGAAAATTCTGCACTCTTCTGTAAAAGGCATTTCTCTTTGGAGGCTTCGGTTTGCCAGAGAGGCTGGACCTCTGTTTGCTAAGGATGCTGCCTCGCTTTGTTGCCTCGGCGTCTGCACCTGCTATGAGCAGCGCCCCATCTCTGTTTAAGTCCGTACTAGCTCCAGCTTCTAGCCCGACAAAGCCGACTTTGAGCTTTTTCTCCGCAGCTGGACCAGGGTAAACCCCGCCTGTGCAGGATTTCTTGACCATTCTGGCGAAATACTGTCATGGGGAGCTTGGAGCTGGAGATTTTTTCCGCCCTTTACCAGGTAGCAGCATTGCAGTGCTGGGCGTGTAGGCTATGATCCGTAGAGCGCTCGCCCCTGTATGTGCGCGTGGCTGAGGCTACCCTGCTTCTGAGAAGCCAATTGAAATGCAGAGAAGAATCTGCAATGAACACAATTCTCCTACTTTAGCGTTTTCCGGCCACCTGACAACAGAAAAAAGGAAAATGTCGTCAATTATTATTAGGGTATAAAATTGGGGAAAACAACACAATATATAAACAGTGTGAACACTGGCACTCCGTTGTTTGATTTGCAGTGTGGCCATAGGCTACAAACAAAAAATGAACACTGATTGTGGAGAACCTATTGATCATTTGCCACTTGCAGAGATCATTTTGATGGGGTAATTTTGTACATCTTTAGAGGCCTTTCAATGTGCACATATGATTTCCTCCACGTTTACCTCACCATCAAAAAATAAATCTATTACAGAATAAATAGGCTATATTGAAGCAATAAGGCCCGAGGTGGTGTGGTAAATGGCCAATATACCATGGCTAAGGGCTGTTCTGCAAGACACGAGGTGGGATACAGCCCTTAGCCTTGGTATATTGGCCATATACCACAAACCGCCGAGGTGCCTTATTGCTACTATAAACTGGGTTACCAATGTAATTTGACCAGTAAATAGTATTTTATTTGACATACCCGTGGTATACTGTCTGATATACCATGGCTTTCAGCCAATCAGCATTAAGAGATTGAACCACCCTGTTTATAATCAAGGATAAAACCTCTCATCACAAGAACATCTTTTGTCTAATTTGCACAAAGCTCCAAACTAACGGTATAAGCAAATGCAACTTTTATATTGTAGTGCTTAAATTACAGTCCTAGCCCCATATTCATACTGTAAAGCGTCTCAGAGCAGTGCTGATCTAGGATCAGGTCACAGCCGTTTCAATACCTTTCAATACCTCACCTTGCGAGGATAATGGCACTGAGCCTTTTTCTAAAATGTTTTATGAGATTAGAGAAACACATTGGGAGGGATGTTTGACCATTCCTCCATACAGAATCTTTCCAGATCCTTGATATCCTTTGTATGTGCTTATGGACTGCCCTCTTCAATTGAAACCACATGTTTTCCATGGGGTTCAAGTCCGGAGACTGAAATGGCCATTGCAAAATGTTGATTTATTTAATACTTTTCTGAAAATTTTGCCAAAAACCTGGTTGCCCCCGCCAGGAAGCTGAAACGTAGCTGCAAGTGGATATTCCAGCAAGACAATAACCCCAAGCACACATCAAAATCCACAAAGTAATGGTTAATTGACAACAAATCAACATTTTGCAATGGCTATCTCAGTCTCTGGACTGTGGTTTGAATTGAAGAGGGCAGTCCATAAGCGCAGACCAAGGATATCACGGATCTGGAAAGATTATGTATGGAGGAATGGTCGAAGATCCCTCCCAAAGTATTCTCTAATCTCATAAAATATTTTAGAAAAAGGTTCAGTGTCGTTATCCTTGCAAGGTGAGGTATTGAAAGGTATTGAAAACAGGGGTGCCAATAATTTTAACTCCTATCTTTTTGAGACGAAAAAAATGTATTACTTGTTAAACAAAATACTGTATATTTATCTGAGCAATTGTGTTAGTATAAAATATAAATTTCCAATTTTTAGCATACAACATAGCCCAGTAATTTTGAACCTGACTGTATCTAGTCCCCCCATTTGAAGAAGCCATACGTATTTGGACAAATTCACTTACAGTTTATTAAAGTAGTAAAAAGTTTAGTACTTGGTCCCATATTCCTAGCACGCAATGATTACATCAAGCTTGAGCGTAGTGATGAGCTGTCATGTTTACCCACATGTTGGGTAAAGAAATGTTAAGTAATGGTAGAGAAGCGTTAAGTAAATGGTAGAGATGCGTTGAGTAATGGTAGAGAAGCGTTGAGTAATGGTAGAGAAGCTTTGAGTAATGGTAGAGAAACGTTGAGTAATGGTAGAGAAGCGTTGAGTAATGGTAGAGAAACGTTGAGTAATGGTAGAGAAACATTGAGTAATGGTAGAGAAACGTTGAGTAATGGTAGAGAAACGTTGAGTAATGGTAGAGAAACGTTGAGTAATGATAGAGAAACGTTGAGTAATGGTAGAGAAACGTTGAGTAATGGTAGAGAAACGTTGAGTAATGGTAGAGAAACATTGAGTAATGGTAGAGAAACGTTGAGTAATGGTAGGGGGCAGGTGGAAGAGGAGCAAGAGCTTGACTGACTCCTAAATGGCACCCTATTCCCTACATAGTGCACTAGAATCAGAATGACTTTTGACCAGGGCCCATAGGGTGCCATTAGGGACGCAAACCCTTGCCTCCTCAGGGGCTTAGATCCCCAATAGGCAAAATAGTCCTCGATTATGATACAGTAAGATAGGCTACACAATAAAGAAAAGAGAAAGAATGGAAGAATGATAGAAAGCAAGAGAGTCGACCCACCCTGGCTTTAAAGTTGAAGGTGCTGGGTTTGGTTTTTATCTGGTAAGGCAGCATTTCCATGACAACCAACCCAGCGGAACAATAAGCCTTCTTCCTCTCTGTGCC